TGCAATTTTCTTTACTCCTGAGCTGTCTCCTTGGATTGTTTTTTCTGATGTGAAACTTGTGAGTGTGTGTGCAGACACTCTGCAGGCAGAAGCAGATTGTTACCAGGTCCAGAAGAAGAAACTAGGATGCGTGTTTCGAATCAGCATGGATATTGAGTTGAAGGCTTCCCAAGACCACTGTTTTATGTCCAAAGTGGGATATGGAGTGTAAAAAAAGTGAGCTGGGAAACAGGACCTAGATTTGAAAGAAAATGCACTGGATTTGGGCTGAGTATAACAGAGACTGGTCGTTTATAATAGCAGGAACTAGGGAGTATTAAAGTTGGGAGAAGGAAATGGAAATAGTATCTTTAAGGTGAGTGGAAAGAAGGTGGTGGTTAGCTTTTGCCATATGAGATGGTTTGTTTGTTTTGGTTATTTTAAGAGCCATGAAGAGATGTGCATATTGGGATTTGGAGAATCATGTAAAATTATGTCTTGCACTTAGTTGTGTAGGCACACTCCAGGGATGAAATGTTCTAAGAACTGTAGACAAAGGATAGCAGAATACAGCAGTGAATTTCATTCTGGGTAACAGCACAGGGAGGAAGGGACTGGTGTCAGGGATGCTTGTGTTTAATGTCTACATTAATGACCAGAATTTGCACGCTAATGAAATCGAGTGATGACAGTAAATTGTCAGACACCGCAAGTGCACATCATAGCAGAATTGCATACCAGAGGGGCCCGGGATGATTAGAAAACACAGGCAGAATACCACAGAATTAGACTTGGTCTGCAAAAAGATAATTTACAAATCTGGGGGTGGGTGAGAATTAAACATTAGCATGAAATGGAAGAGCAAAAGGTAAGCAGTAACCATGGCTAGTGAGCGACTGGAGCCCTTTTATGGCTGCTGTAGTAGACCCATATAGGAGCAAGGCAACCGTACTCCAGATTATGCCACTATTATTACTCCTACTATTAATATTAGTGTTAAAAGTAGTAGTAGTATGTATGTATGTGTACCTCACCTTTCTTCCTCTTACAAAGAACCCAAGGCAGTTTGCAGGAGTCTTCTCTCATTTTATCCTCAGAACAACAACCCTGTGAGCTTCATGGCTGAGTAGGGACTTAAAACCTGGATATCCTGAAGCACAGTCCAATACTCTAACCACCTTACCGGCTTAGTATGCCTTTTCCCTTCAGAACTCAGCCTAACTGAAAGTATCCAGTTCCAAAAAGCCATGTAGGCACCTATTACTTTAGTGCAGTTTTATCAGGCCAATGTGGAAATATGATTAACGTATCTCAGTTCTTAAGTGTTATCCGAATTGATACCTGTGATTATGTAGCATCATTCAGTTAGAGACTGTGTTTATCATCTAGTCCTACCTTCTCTATGGGCAGGATTTTTGAAACTAAAGATCAGATCTTAGAGCAATAAAGCCAATAAAGCTGAAGCAAGATAGCCTATAGATAAAACTTCAGAAATCCCAGCTCTTATCACTGCTTAATGATCACTGACCAGAGATGACAACCTTCTCTCAGCTGGAGTGCTAAGCTGGGAAAACCCCAGTGGAGCAGGAGTTTTGGGGGAGAAGAAGGAAGGCTGTGGATATCTGGAGTTTCCCAACTGTGATCTAAGGCTTCACAAGGTTTTGTTTTGCGCTTCTTAGATAGGTTTTGGTGCTGCCTTCCTCAGTAACTGGTGGTTTTCCTCAGCCACTATGCTGAACTCTGAGCATTTTTGTTACATATATGTCACAACACAAATTGTTTTTAAAGCTTTTAAGCTGTCAGTTGCCTTGGGAACTATGTTTAGGGCAAATGCCAGCTCATGTTTATTTTTATTAATATATACATAAATATTTCTTCATAACGCCATTGCCTAACAGCCTCTTTCTGTTCTTGGTTCTGCTTCGTTTTCTGCTTGGTTCTGCTACTTTAACTTCAGTAGTTAACTAGCAAACTGAAGTTAAACTGCTTTATCATTTATAGCCAACGCCAGGTATGTTGCGGTTATTTACAATGTGTGTGGCATGCTCTCCGTGAAATCCTGCCCCCAGCCCGTATCAGCACAGATTGCTAGATGCATTGCCAACCTCCTCACTGACAACAAAGCCTTGTAGCACCTGCAAGCCTGGCTCACTGATGATGGCATAACTTTTTGTAGACTAGAATCCAAGTGAACTCTAGTCTACAAGAGCTTGTACCATAATGAATGTATCAGTTTTTCAGGTGCTGTGAGCCCTGTTGTTGTTTTTGCTGCAACAGACTAATGTGGCTTCCCCTCTGGTAATGTTTCACTGACATTATTTATGAAGCCAAATGCATAGGCCCCAGAACTGACTGCTTGAGAACTTCAGTTGCAACCTCTTTTCTCTTTTATATCAATTAATCCGTTATTATCCACCGAGTGCAGCTATTTTTAGCCACTTGCGTAACCACTTTATGCAGTGGATACGCAAGTGGCTAAAAATTCATGCTTGCTTAAGAGGACATGACTTGAGACTGGATCGATATTCTTTTTGATATTTGGGGCCATCAGGTAGCTGTGTGTGCAGTAAGAAGTCTTCTCCATTCCTAAGTGAAAAATAGGAACTGGCTCCATGTATCTGCACTGCTGCTTCTGATTTAGCTAGCATTGTGCATTCCCTTCTTCCCCTTCAGCAATGAGAAAGAAAAGAAAAAGAACATGATGAGAAAACCTGTCCGTTCATATTAATGGTTATTAATACAATTAGTGAAAAGAAAGAAAAAAATAACACATTTTAAATATTTGCATTAATATATGCCAGGGCCCCCCATGCAGCTCCTTCAGGCACCATGATGCCCATGGGCAGCCCAGTGCTGCCTGTAGGGAGTAGAGTGTTAAATTAGCATTATAGCTTATTTTCATTGTTCAATATATATCCATGGATTTGTTATGAAATGCATTACAACTTTCTAGCAATTATACATAGGCTTCGGCAAAAGCAGACCAAATATCCAAATAAGTTTTCATTTGAAGGTTGTATTTGTATGTCACACATTCAAATATTGAAAATATTGTAAAGTCTTCAACCCCTGTCCTCATGAGAGGCAAGGGTTTGTCCTTCCAATGTTGTAATATTATTTTCAACTGTATAAAAAGGCACAGAAAATCCATTTATGCTAGCCATGTATGTTTCCATGAAGTTGGTAAATACCATAAAATGTTTGTATATTACTTAATATTAAAGACTGTTCCAGTACAAAATATAAATATCCTCCCTGCAAAAAGAAGCAACTACCAGACATTGTCAAAACATACATTTAAAGGATACATTACCTGTTTAGCCTTGCCAGCAGTTAGCAGAATGAGGAAATCCCTTATTAAAGAGATGTTGTGGCCAGTAAACACAAAAACAAAGTTTTTGCTGACTGCAATGCAGTTTAAGATCCACAAAAGCAACAGGTACACACCAAAGTGGTGAACTGCTGATTAAATATTTTGCTGTGGTACCTGCAGCAATTTCTCAAATTCCCAAAGGTGCCCATAGGGTCCAGAAGTGCTGGGGACCTCTGGTATTAATAGCCCATATACTTAAATAAGCATCCACACAGAACTGACAACTGCTAGATTTATGTTCAAATGTTGTAGTAAGATGTACCTAACTGACCAGAGAAGAGAACAAGCTTTGCTTGTAGTATCTCCACATTGCCTTACAATTAACAGCCTTATTTTCCCCCAAATGTTTTCTCCAATATCTGTCCCCAGTTCAAATTTTTCATTCCCTTTTAAAATATCAGCTCTGAAGTAGTTGTTCTTCATTCTCTGGGAATCAGACCAACCCTTCTTAAATTCTCAAATGTAATGAATATACCATTTAGACTGATCAAGTGTTATTTTGCATGCCCTTTGCTGATATTGAATTCATGTATCTTCCCCTTTCTTGTCTGTCAGTTTTGCTGGTTGCGTCAGCATTTTCAGGAAAGTAGATGTTAAGCACATTTGTATTCTCTGTCGGCATCTCTTTCTGAACCAAGTGGCAGACTTGGGGTACCTCCGCGTATAATGGAAAATCCCTGTGGGTTGGTTTTGAATATTTGTTAGTTGCAACACATTATGTGCCTTTGCTTCCCTGGCTTTTGTCTAGACAAGCATTTCTGCAGGATTAATATATTCCACCTTAGCAATCTGCCCTCCTAACTCCTTTTGGTCAGTTTCCATTTTAGGCTCCTCAGGCATCAGAAAGTTTCCTGTGTAGTCACCACCATCTTGTTCAATTGCTCCTGTTCTTTCTGTGCATGGATATGACTTGCTGTTGTGCTTCCATTGCTGCATCCTTCAGACCTTGACTGTCCCTGACTTGTACTCTTATTATTGACTCTTCAAAATGTACTTCCCAGTTTGAGGAGTCCATAGCATCATAGCCATTTTGATGGATGTGATCCCCGCTGCCCCAAGGGGAGTAAATGGAGTTACTAGGCTGAAGTATGATACATAGTAGGATGACACACCTCATAGAGTGGTATTGAACAGAGGAATTCCTTTGTTACTTTTTTTGCCAAGTGTCCCTTTCCTTTAAGGAAGCAACTTGGCTGGATGAAACCGTCCCAGCTGAACCAAGAAAGAGCAACCTGCTCTCTTGGGCATGCCTGCTGTCGGGTTTTTCACTTGCCTTTCCAGTGTTCATGACTCTTTGAATATAAAGGCAAAACAACTTTCTGTTAAATCCTATGCAGCAGGTTCCCTTCATGAAGTCTATTGTCCTCTTCTGCTCACCTATTTACATATTTGCCTGCATCTCTTGCTCCTCATTGTAGTTTTCACACAGCTTTTTAAATAACTACTGAAACTTCTTTTATTTGTGTTTGAAAGTCACATTTCTCGCCAATTGCGGAGTCAGCCATTTTGCCAGCTTTTCTTATCTGTCTTTTCTTTTTCTTCCTCCCCTGGTCATGGAGATTTGGATGAAGGTGAAGTGGGAGGGGGAGTACAGCAAATGGTAATGTCTCCTATAGTTTATATATTTACCATATTTCTTTTTCTGCAGCAAGAGTCAAAAGATGAGCCAGTTCCACAGAAGAAAAGAACAAAGCAGCAGCTGGATAGAGCGAAGTTTGCAGCAAAAAGAAAAATTGCACGTAGGTCTCACAGGTGTTGGGGAAAGGGAGAACTGGAGAATGAGCAGAGCACTTTTGGATGTGTATTTCCCACAAGCATGTATGCCTTGCATCTGTGGCAATAGCAAAGCAAATTAGTGCAGCTCCTTTATGTTATTTGTAGCACAGATGCAGCCGTTACTGCAGTTCTGATAAATGTAATCAGATATGGTTCAAATGTATGGAGTGGTACCCTAACTAAGCATATGTCTGATAGCAGAAAGCAGGGACTTATTAAGACCCCAAGAGTTATGCTGTGGCAGTACAAAGTACGGCATTGCTGTCAGTTCTTCATATGGATGCCTCACTAATGGTTATGCTATATGCAGCAGAGAAGAAGGAATAAAGGAGAAAAAGTGACAGTTACAGCATGTTTCTTAGCCCTGTCTTGTGACTGTGTAGGACTCACAGTGAGCTTTTCATCCACTGAATATTCTATTCTGCCCCTTGAATGGTCATTAGGATGAGAATACACACAGTGGCTTATTCAGTAAGTAATCTTAGGGGTAACCCTGTAACTTACTTTGCTGGTAAAGTCAAATTATTCTTTGACATGATTCCAGGACCTTGTTCTGTGAAATAGCATGCACTTGGAAGGATACCTCAATTTCCTCAGTAGAGCAAATTCTTCTAAGTTGACAGCAGTATACTCTGATTCACAAGGTATCTGTGAATAATACTGGTTTTGCATGCAGCGCTGATGTGTGAATACAAGGGAACACATTTCTGAATAGACCTGAAACACAGATTAGAACAGGTGCATTCCAGTCAGAGAAGATACCAAGCAATCTGGAAAGAGCACTCAGTAAGTTTCTTTGCAGACAGAAGTAGGTACGGTTTCTGCACTCCAGACAAGTGAGAGGCCCACAGATGAGAGCAGGAAAGCACTTGTGCAGTGTGCTTCTGAGATGGTTCATTTCAGTTGAATGCAAAGCATTCAGTGATTTACAGTGTTGAAACTTGTTTTAGATCTCCTGAACACATGTAGAACCCCTAGCTGTGACATGCAATGAGATTTGTAGTCCAGCACACTTTGGAAAGTAGCTCTAGCTGCTTCTGACAGAGTAGACCTACCAAAAGTACTGAGTTTATCCTCTAGTTTGCTGCTTTGGATGCAGGTCTCATCCACCATATTAGAGCACTCAATTAGCAATAATTAATTAGACACATCCACTTACATGTCTGCTCTTTTATTTATTAGAACTATAATTAGCCTTTTAGTGTTTATTTTTAGGCAAATTAAGGTTCATTTCTTTGAAATAAAAAATTGCTGTCTTTGTTCTAAAAGGTTGCTTGGGTTCTGTGACAAATTGACACCTTGGTTGAAGAGGCTGCCTAGGGAGAATACGATTGCTGGGCCCCCTCCTCTCTTTGCCAGATGAGACCTAGTCAAGCAGTTAGCAGTTGTGTGCATACGAGTGTGTGTATGCCGTTTAAATTAAAAGCTGATTTGCTTGCAATAAAAATAGCTGTGGAAGAAGGGGCCAGTTGGGACCCGGGTGAGGAGAAAGAATAAAAGCCCCGCCCACCACCACTGAGGTCCCAATCTGGAATTTTCTCCAGATGTTAACAGGAGAGAGGAGGAAGGAGAAATCATACAATTCATTATGTGACTAACACCACATCTGGTTTGACACCATCTATGGAGGCTCAGGGTGTCTAGATAAAATAAGGCCTACATGTGCTGCCAATTTCCAAAGCTGAAATACTTCTGGTATTTTTAGGTGCATTGTTCTTCTCTGGCTTTATAGCTTTTGATCATTTTTAACTTTGAGTTATAATTGAAATACATCCATGACATTATATTCCTGGCAGGATAAAATTAAAACATCCAAACCTGAAGAAATATTTTTTAATGTTTTCTGATGTGCCTTTTCTAAGACATATTGGATCTCTTCTCACTCTGCAGTAATTTTGCAATGATTCTAAGTGTAATAGATCCAGCATTTCTATATTTTTGTGACAGGTGGGAAATCTTTTGTTAGTAGGGGCTAGGACACCGACTGGGGCTTTGCATCTACTTCATTTTGCAGTTAACCAAATTGAAACATGAAGTGTTTAGTACATTGTTATGCTGGCAAGTTACAAGGCTCAGAACTGGTTTAATTTATTTAAGATTGTGACATCTTTAAAAGCACCCCCCTTCCAGACACACACACTTCCTTGGTGGGGTTGATTGTGTTGGTCATGTGAAGTTTGGTTTTCCTACAGCATTGCAATGACTGCTCTCACACCTCATGAGAAGACATAGTAGCGTATGGGAAGCCTATTTTCAGTGTAGCAGAACTGCGCTGGCTTTAACAAACAGAACACCTCATGCAATGTAATAGGGTTTCCATATGCATATATGTACATGCATTTAACTTGTGCTCAGAAGGCACAGGGAAGAAGTGGTTTTCTTTATTCCGGCAGCATCGATTACCTGCCCAATCCATTCAGGCAATGCTTGTTTCTCAAAGCTCAGCTGCTATTTTGTGTCTCCAAGTTCTTAAACAGTCTGTTTGCCCACATCACTAGGAGGCTAACATAATACTTAGAATTTCTAATCATCATAAATTATGACCAATGTAATCAAGCTCACACAAATTGTGAGCATTTGCAGACAGCATTTAGAAATGATCAGATGTTAAGCAGAATAATACATGATAGCCAGGAATCCACAGCATGGCTCGACAGAACAGATGCCCTGCTTCTCCCAGGGAGATGGCTTATTCCTTTTACTGTCATGTAAGTTGTATATTTCACAGGGGGTGGAGATTTATCCTTCTCAGTCCACCTGTGAATTTGAAAACAGAATAAACAACAGTTTGTTTTCTTTCTTTTATGCCTGAAGAATTCTTGTCTAGAGTTTTTCATGTTCAATTTTACTGAACCAGAGAATGACAAATGACAATGTAACGTAGCAAATTGCTTTACAGTTAGAATTTTATTTGCATTGTGCTTCATAGTTGTTAATAGTCTGATTAATATGTCCTTAATAAAAATAAAAGTCAGGCTTGATAGGTAACTATGATTATTATGATCTTGTTTCCATTTAGTTCTGTTGAACTTAGGTCATAGTCAGAAATGTGGTATTTAAGTTGATATTTTAATTCAGCTCCAATTAAAATGCTTGGCTACTGCTTGAGCTGCAGCAGGCCCTTTGTTAGTCACATTCAAGATATCCAAGCTGTATGCTTACTGTACAGAATCACAGCTTTCCACCTTCCCATGGTAAAACTAGCATGGCCAAAGTTTCCTTGGCTCATCAAAGCACCATACTTGATTGTCCCCCTTGCCTTAACTCCACTTAAATTTCTAATGAAAAGTTTAACACATCCTCTTCCATGTAAAGGAGTGCTGGTAAAGTGCTTATTGCGGTCCAATTCCATGTGGCAGAAACAGCTCTATCCAGCAGCAAGGGTAAAAATGCCCATTCCACATGGCTGCTTCAGCATAGTTGGGACCACTCCAGAGGATGTTGCAAAATCCATGTTTTGCTGTTTTTTCTTCCTAGTTCCAATCTGTCTCCTGCAGTTGAGGAGGAGAAATAGGGTTCGGTATTTCACATGTCAGCTCTCAAGTGTGCCTATTTCAAGATGAAGCTGAGATTGTATTCTGATTCTTTTGATACCCAAACACTTTTCATTAAAGCATTAAGGTATCTGTCACCTGTCACACCTGGAAGCTGATTTGTTTGTCCAAAAGCCCTTTCTTCCAGCATCATTTTGGGTTCAGAAGCTCTTGTTTGGTTAAAAGTGATGTGAGAGGGAATCTCGCAGGGAAGCCTGCTCAGTATCAACCAACAGTGGCTTGACTGAAGAGCCTTTTGGTGTACTCATCAGATCCTTAGAAAGCTGGGGAGTTGCTGGAGATGCTTTTTCATCCTGTTTTTCAGGCTTGGATAATTTTAGCCAATTGAAAATTGATGGGTCAGAAATCTCAATGACTGGATGTTTTCCAGTGCAGCTTTGTTTTTGCTACTCATACTTTTCAGTATGCTCTGGAAACTCTTTTAAGGAAGAAAAGTGTGTGGACAGGAGGAAGGTGGTACATAGAGCAATTGACCAGTTGAGCAGGCAAAAAGGTATATGGCCATGGTAGCCTGTGAAGAGCTTTCTCCGTATTCTCCATTTTTTCTTCTAACCTTCTTTTGCATGAAACTGGGTGAATGTGGCACATTGCCTGCTTACATTTCAGAAGGCTTCCCATGGAAGTACATATCCCAGAGCACTGATTTTTTTTAGTTGATAATAGTTGTCAAATGGGAAGGAACTTACTTCATTCTGCTCTGCCATCAGTCTGCACCTTATTGAAAAAGTCTGTTCATACACACAGTTCAACATTCAAAGCCTACTGCTTTTCCCCGGTGTTCTTTGATGCATATATTGCATGTGAAAGTACAAAACAGAGCTACTGCTGTGAGTTTATGTGATGAAAATATTTCATTGTGATGAATTCATCCAACGAGTCAAAGTTGAAATCACTATGGGAACCTTAACTAAATGCCCTGACTTTGGTTCAAGGATTTGATATTGCACAAAATGCATTACTCTGCATTTAGCACTGTCTGTTCCAGTTTTCAAGGTGCACAGTAAGGTAAGCTGCAATGTAACAGCTTTGATCCAATTTAGGTTTTTCTTTCCTGTGAAGGTGAAAGTCCCCAGGCACCTTCTTAAGGATGTAAGAACCGTGAGTTTGCTGCTTCATGTTGTGTTATGCTTTTTTGTTTTTCCTTCTTTTCAGAAATGACAGAAGATGAGCAGTTTGCCCTGGCTCTGAAAATGAGTGAGCAAGAAGCCAGACAGTTGAACTCGCAAGAGGAGGAAGAGGAAGAGCTTTTGAGAAAGGCCATTGCTGAGAGCCTCAGTGTGAGTGCAGCAAAAAATATTTTCTCTCTCTGTTGTTCAAAGGGGTTTTTTTTTTTAAATGGCAGACCTCTCTTATGTTCTAGTTAGAATTCCAGCCAGTCTTGTGTGAGGCATAAATGCATCTGACAAGGTGGGCTCACAAAACATTTGTTAATCTTTATTATGCCAGCAGACTCATTTGTGGCTAATAGTTAATTTCACCTTTAGCTGTTGTTCTGTAGGTTAGTATGAGTGTGTCCATTTATATTTTATTCCTCTGCAGAAGAAGAGTCTGCTTGATTTAATAATTAGGAAAATACACCCTAGAAGGCAAACCTCTTGTCTTGTTTTCCTTCCCTCTAGAGCTGCCTGCCTTCAGAAAGTTCTGCTGCAGCTGCTGTTCCTCTTGCTTCCCAGGCACCAGCATCTGCAGCTGGACAAGAGGATCCTGAGCTCCTTACAGCTGTGCTGTCCTGCGCTGAGTCTCCTTGCTCCAAGTGCAGTTCCCTCTCATCCTGCGACAAGGCTGATGAGAATGGACAGACAGATGTCGCCAAGAGGCCCCTCGTAGTACTGACGAGGTTAAGCCAGGAGATAGTTGAAAGCTCACTAGTCTCTAGCATAATTGTATCTCCAGGGAAGAGCCAGCCTTTTGCAAGGTCAAATGAAAATCCTTCCTCACCAGCAGGGAGCAGTTCCAGTGACACAACATCCAGTCTAGAAGAGGAGATGCCAGTTACTGTAAGTCCCACCTTTCCCCAAAAGCCTCAGAAAATTTGGCCGCTGGCACCTCAGAGACTTTTTGTGGGAAGGGGCAGCCCCTCGAGGCCAGCAGGCAAAGGGGCTGACAAGTGTTCCCTGAGTGACTCAAAAAGAGAACCCGTTGTCAGTACCTCAGAAGTCCAAGAAAAGGAGCCCCAGAAGCACAATATCTTGGATCACTTCAGCCATCCAGCTTCTGAGTCTGTGCATCAGTTTGAGCCCAGCAGGAAGACATGCCTTTCTCCTAAGCCTGCGGAAAGGATTGATATGCCAGAAAAAGCACCTCTGCTCTGCCCACTTCATGTGAGTGATGAGGAATGTCAGCAAGAAGAAAGGGATGTGGTGCACTATTACTGGGGTGTCCCATTCTGTCCTAAGGGAGTGGATCCCAGCAAATACACCCAAGTCATTCTGTGTCAGCTTGAGGTTTACCAGAAAAGCCTGAAACAGGCTCAGCGACAGCTTCTGCAGAAGAGGCGGTTTGGGGAGCCAGTTGTGCCTGATTCATGCTCCTTGAGGAGAGGTGAATGTGGGAAAGGAGAAGAGGCAATCAGGGCAAAGGAAGCTACAGATGAGCAGGAAGGAGATGACACAGATGACAAAAAAGAACCTGAGCGCATAACCTGGCTTCTGTCCCCAACCAGTGGAGAGCCTAACAAAAATCCAGAGCAAAATAAGGCAGAAGGGAGAAGTTCTGAGAGTGAAGATGAACCCGCAAGCACCTCTTGCCAGGTAAATTTGCTCCGCTGTCCTTGTCTGTCTGTTGAATTCTCAGTGAACAAGGGAGTGGCTAGTCATCTTGCTTTATGCTGAGGATGTGGCCTACTCTGCAAGCAATACCATAAAACTGCTGCAGCTTTTTTCTTACCTTAATATATAGTGGGGGCTCTGTTCCCTGTGACAGATCACACGTATTCAGTGGTGGACCTATGGTAGTCCCTCTAAGGTTTCTGTAAGGACAGGAGATAGCTTGGAATGTTTAAGGATCTAGATATGTATTGAGTTAAACATTAAAAGATGACAGTTGCAAAATCTATTTTAGTTCTATTCATCCAGTAATACAGGTTGAAAAGGAAACAGCCTAATTTTTACTCATTAGTACTAAACTTCAACAAATGTCGTTATCTTCCAAAATAAATGTAGAATAACTGCCAATGCATCTAGCCATGGTTCACAGGACCCAAAATTATTTGCTTCCTGAAAAAGCTATGTTCTTGATAGTTATGAAGACAATGGTTTGACTGCAAATAGAAGTATATTCACAAAGAGTTTGGGGACAGGAAGCTTGACATTGCTGATCACTGCTAAAATAATGACTAGTTTGTTTTTCCTTGCCTGCTCCCTATCTTACAAAGTGACATCAACATACCAGGTCCATGGTATGTCAGAGATCAAAAACTGCCATGCAGCTTAGTTTTAAAAAAAGTTATCAACTGAAATGTTTACTATTTAGTACTTTTTAAATATTGTTTTGCTTACCTCAGGCCATATAATCGCTTAGGCTTCCTTTATGTTCCTTTGCATTTTGAGGTTCTCTAGGTAGCAGTGCTTGTTTTTCATAATGTTTCCTTTGTAATCATCATATTGCTGGACAGAGAATGAGTTGTGACAGGGAGAACTTCCTAATTTCACTCGCCGTTGTAGCATCTGCAGCTGGGCCGAAAATAACCTGTTCCTCTTGCTTTGTTTTCTAAATGTGGCATTTTACCGCCCACCTGATGGCCACTAGGTGTCAGTGTTTGTTCCATTTCAAAAGCTAAGAGCGCTTTCGGTCATTGCTGCTGTTTTAAACAGATTGCTCGTCAGATGAAGTATTTATTGCTGCTGTATTTTAGGTTTGTGTCAGCCTTTTCCAACCCTCATTTTTCATAATGACTTCGCTGCTAGATCATTGTATAACTTTATCTTCTCTCTGACTGAAGCTCAACCTTGTTGTTACTATTTTCAAGTGTATTTGATTGTTTACTCTGGTGATGGAAAGATACTTAACTTGTTTTGTGATATTTATATTCTGTCTTGTAATATTGAACACTCTGAGGAAAAACTGTCATGTCTGCATTTTCTTTTAGAAGTGCAAGTGTAGTGCAGCCTGTGCTTCGGGTCTCACAGTCTTAGATCCAGAGAGGCTATATTTAAATACACCTTAAAGGTGACCTGTGAAGGAGAAAGTGTTGGATTTGTGCCCTTTTTTGGTACTTGTTTATGATGGATGGAGATGACTGGAGTGGTTTTGTGTCAAAGTAATTTTTATCTGCTTGCCTCTGTGGTTGGAAATTCAGGTTTTATTTAACCTGGAAGGTTTTGTGGTAAATGAAATGCTGATGAAAATCTCGGAGACCCCCAAAAGGCCTGATAGTGCTGGCGGTTGAGAGGAGACTCTTGTTCTAGCACCTGTTAGGGATTTAATACTAATCCCTAATGAATTCCTTGAAGAAGGAGCATCTTAACAAAAGATTCAGCATCCCTTCTGCTCCTTTTATAAGGAATGTGCGCATCCAGCTCACAAGTCCTAAGCAGTCTTTCAGCAAAAACAGGGAGTAATAGGCTTGACATTTAAAATGGCTCTAGGGCCATGAGAAACAAATGGAGTTGTTGGGGCAACCCAAAAACACAATTAAAACGTAAAAGGCTCAAGTTCCATCTCATAAATATACAGGAAAGCACTTTAAGGTAGCACAGCAGAGAAGCAAAGCCCCGAGTTTGACAATATGCTTTGCCACAGATGACTCTTACCACCCCTTTTCTTTCTTCCCCCATGTAATGGAACATGGAGCTAATGGCAGGTAATTCAAAGGACACTTTTCCATGTTTTAAGCCTCGTTTGAGCACTGCATTCTTTTTTGCCAAAACTACCTCCCTGTGTTCTTTGTCACTGTTTCTGCTGCCTTTGTGTTGACAGTGGTGGAAGCCCTAATGTATTCAAGGCGCTGAAGTATCTCCTTAGCTGTTTAGACCCTTCCCACCTTCCCACCTGCTTGTGCCACTTGTTGCTGCTGACTTGCAGCTGAATCAGTTCTAACCTCTGATGTTAAATCTGAATGGTGCGTTTCCTGGAGGTTTGCACTGCTGGCAAACCTGCTTAACTGTGCTCCCTGCGTCTGCTGAATTGCAAAACTGTTAATCAAAGCAGTAACGACTGTTTCTTTCATTCATTCATTCGTTCATTCTTTAGTGTTTCCTTGCTCAGTCCTGTTACAGCAAAATGCTGCTGAAATGGTTATGGTGGTTGGATGACCCCTTCAGACTCCTAAATGTTCTGTGGTAAAAGGTTATATACCTGTTTTTATTTAGATGAACATTTTTTTTAATATTCATTGTCCAGTGTAAGACTGAAATGAGATGTTTTGGCAGATGTGGGCTTCTGCTAAAAACAGCATTCTTATGTCTGTCTCCTCCTTTCTTGAAGCTTGTAAAATATGGGAATACTTCACACATGTAATATTCCCTACCCTCACTCCACTTCCTTCATGGCCTCCTTGCTGGGAGTGGAAATGGTGATGACATGTTATATGTTGAGTATCTTTAAATGTTATGGGAAGAGCTTCCCTACACCTCACCATAATTCTTGTGCTGGTCTTCATCTTTGTGCCTTATTCACAGTAGAAACAAAATTGTACCTAGTAGACAAGAGAGAACTTAGCCTTTCCTGATAGAGTTGAACAGTCTTTTAGATTTTCAGGATTCTCGTAAGCTACCTGATTATCAGTATCAGGACTGAGCTGGATAGCTTTTGGGGGTGGGGGGCTATGTTGCAGGTTAGGATTGGATGTCTCAGTAATTTCCTATTGGGGTGTTTTTCCTCCTTCCCTTTGTGGCATGAGAACTGCAGATAGAGGTACAGTGTACTGAACAAGTGGATTGAAGCAATGATGCTAAAAGTAATTTGTCAAGACAAGGAGGATAGTTTCAGGAAAAGATCTCGCTTGCATAATTGAATTGCAGCTGATAACTAGATGGGAGTTCTTTCAGTTCAGCCTGACTCTGGTTGTGTGTGAGGGGGCAGGGCAGTTGCTGCCTCTTTGGAGTATGGTGTTACTTTTTTTGCTTGAGCCCTCTGGATGTTTTTCACTTACTCTTTCAGCTCTGGGGGCTCCATGTACAAGCCAGCTTGGTCCACAATGCCCTGGGCTTGTTCAGTGGTGTAATGTAGCTGTTCCTAAATCGTATTCTTCAAGTCCTGGTAATGTTCCACATTCTGCTGTGGAAATCCTTAAAAAGTTCAAGTATGGCATTTTCCGGTGACACTGGAGCTGGTTGTCTTTCCTCTGTAACAAGTTGTTTGCGTCCGGTGGTACTGCTGGCTCTAAGATCATTGATACATTGGGGGATCAGGAGATCGAAGAGCATCTTTCCATTTTAGACAGTGCCCTATGCCTGCCCCAAGATGGGTTGCTCTAGTGGCATTCTGGCCATTTGGATTTGTTCAGGCTTTTAAAGAGTAGGAGAGAAGGAGCAAGATGTAGGGACAGTGAGAGGAGGAGGAGGAGCAAAAGAGAAAAGCAGAGAGATTGGGAGAGGGAGGAGGCAAACATTAAACATATCAAGTAAAACAATTAAATAGCACATGACAGGATGGGGTTAAAGGTGGGTATCAAGTCTGAAAAGGTTGTAAATTATTGTTCTAGAGAAGTTTACTTTCCACCTCCAGATGGTTTTCTTTTTCTAGCAAGAAGCCAGCATGCGAAGGGGACACACCAATTGTACCTCTTTGCACAAAACTGGGGGATTCTCAAAGAGCCATTTCAGTCACAGCAGTGTAAAATACATTTACACACTAATTGTAAAGTTAGTGTACTACTTACTTAGTTGCTCAGTGACAGCTATTGACACATAAGGGCAATCAGTTTGTAACTGAGGGACAGAGCACCTGCTCTGCATGCAGAAGGTTCCCGGTTCAGTCTCCAACATCTCCACATAGGTCAAGAAGAGTTCCTGCCTGAAACCCTGGAGAGCCAATGGCTGCCAGTCTGTGGTGACAGCACTGGGCTAGATGGACCAGCAGACTGTCTCTGTACAAGGCACCTTCCTAGGTATCGCATTCAATTGGCCTTCTGTGGCCTAGGGCAAGTTTACAGGTTTCGTACTCTTTCTTCAGTTCTGAGAACTTGTGAGATTGTGTCTCTCCCCCCCTCCCCAACCCCCCATTTCTGGTTAAGCTAGGGATAGTTGCAACCACCATTTTTACTTCCCATGTGTTTATGACAGCTTCTTTCTCAGCTTTGGCTTTCCTGAGCGTTTTGCTTCTGAATTTAACCATTCAAGCCTAATGCTTTAAGGGGGCTAACTTCATTGCAGTATTCCCAGTGTTGCTTTCATCACCAGCATCATGTAACAACACAGCCTTGTCCATTGCAGTTGGTGGTGCAGTGTACCGCAAGAGGGGTTGGCATACTAATCCTGCTCTACAGTAGCAGTTGATCATGATTTCTCCCAACAGTTATGATTCTCTGGCTCTTGTAAGGTGCACACTTACACAGTTGGCTGATTCATATTTTCTTCTTCTTTAGGCATCTCAAGTACTATTTGGAGAAGATGTGCTTGAAGAAAGGGAGCCCATGCAGATTACACAAAGGTACCTAGTTATATTTCACAGTGATGTATCCTGGGGACCTTAGGCCTGTGGGCATGACCTGGTCTTTACAGTCTTACTAGGTTCTTGGAAAGCTGTAGGGTGGACATTCTGTCCTTATAATTGTGGCAAGTTATAACTATGTTGTGTTGTGCTGGGGTGTGATGGCTGGAGAGAGGAGTATCCTGCTTGTCTGCATAGTGGTCAGATGTTGTATGTGACTCTGGACCCAGTACTGGATCTTTTGACTGATATCCCAGCTTGGTTTATCATCATTCTTGCATTCCTTTTGTATGCATTTTATAACAGAAGAGTATGACCATCAGCAGTGTACCCCATCTTTAAAATGCAAAGCGAGAAGTAGTTCTTGCAATGAAGATAAGGAAGTATAGACCTTTGCCTCAGGAGCTGACAGCCTAATCTGACTCGACACTGTAAAGCAGTAGACTGGGATTGGTGAGGAGATGAATTACACCAGTAGACTAGCAGAGTCTCTGTGGGTATGTGCACAGCACGGTGGAGCAATGTTTAAATATATAATAAATATGTATCTCAGATTCTATGAAGAGTCAAGAACAGAGGAGGAGACCAAGGAAACACAACAGACTGGCAATGGTACATTTGTCTCCTTGGGGCAGCAGACAATGTTCTGGGAAATCCAATTCCAGCAAGCGTCAGCGGCCTGTGTAGTTGGGTGTGGAACCTCCCTGATTTGTCTCAGATAATTAAATAATGAGATTGGGAGGCTGCTGCCTGCTTCTGGCATTGGGCCCCTGCTGCCTTCTTTGGCAGGGCAGGACACAGTGGCCATTTCTGGAAGATTGCCTGAGAGGTCTGTTCCTTACAGCTTCCCAAAGTAGGAGTGAAATATGCTGGCTGTGCAGTCGAGATCAGGAAATGAAGGAATCTGTAAGAGATGACTACAGATAGGGGGAAGATTCATGAAGCAATTTTCTAGGAAAGTTTTAATATTTGTTGTTTAGCCACATCTCTGGCTGTGAGAAGTTACTTGACTCGTAAAGTTAGTTTCCCCAGGTTTTGTAATTAAAATGCTCTTGGCATGAGGCCACCGGTTTTTCTCTGCCTGATATTGTCTCTTCTCATTGATCTATCAGCATTTTGGCTGAATGCTCAATGAGGGAGCGGACTGGCTGATGTGATGGCCCTTCCCACCCTGCCGTAGGGTAAGCACTTGTATGTACTCAGTCTAACAAAGAGGATGCTAGTTTCACCCTTACACTGATTGTACTCGGGGTGAAAGATTCGATTGTGGATTCTTCCCCTTGCCATCGCAGCTGTCAAGAGCTGTCTGTGACTGAGCAGTGGGAGAGAGGACGATAATGCTCGTTTGATCACTCGGGTGCGATTCTTCAAGCACACACTAGCCAGGGCTTGACTGGAAAAGTCCCTCCAGCTCCATCCAGGAATAGGATTCATGTAAATGGCAAGTGGCACTGGTGTACAGTTTTTGCCCTTCAAGGCTTGTCCCATTTCATCCCTGAACTGTGGGTAATAGGATTAGTCTTCTGGTTACATTAGCTACCTTGTACATTTATCATGCCTCAAGCAGGGTGGATGACGTACAGTCCACTTGCCAAGCTGTGGCCCTGGGAACTTTGCAATGCAGCTGGCGGCTCCTCTCATCAGGCTGCTAGGATCAAGATTGACCATTACATGCTGTGACATCTAATTCCATCAGATGGTACATCCGCATTAAGATGACAGCGGCCGCAGTATTCTTAATTTTGTGCACGTTAAGTTTGGCCATCTGGCAACTGGCAGTTTGCCAGTAGTGCCCTGTGCAGGGCATTGCACAGGCGCCCTGGTCAGCAGGCTTCAGATGCTATTCAATTCGTATGCTGCCGGAATAATTTTGGAAGTGGCTTTAGCCAAAGCTGCCTCCCTTCCATTTTCTGTGGGCCATTTGAGGTTGTTGTTTCCTGTGTCGTGCAAAGTACATTAAATTGAAATTTTAATAAATGATTATATGCTTTGTTACTAAGAGATAGTTTGTGTAGCAAGCAATGTGGGTTGACTTCAAATTGATTAGCCCATTTTATAAATGTCATAGCAATTGTTTAGCGTAAGGCCTTTTGAAGTGAGTCTTGATGGTTTACACAGAGTAAGCTGCGCTCAGCTTGGGCTCATAACAAATGCTTTGAGATGGTTTATTTAGTGAGAGAGCAAGAGAAGTCACTTGTGGTTTCCCATCAGGATTTTCTTATTTATCATAAATCTGTGGTGGCTGTTCCCGACTCTCCGAGGCTCATGGCTGAGTTTAATAAATCTTCTCCTTTGTCAGTGTGGGGATTCATGTTTTTCAAGTGTGTGCTTGCATTCTTGATCAATCCAACTGGAGAGCCACACAGAGCTCTGCAGGTGACAGGTTGGTGATGTCACTGTGCCTGTGCCTGTGTCTCCCTATGACATGGGGAGCTTGTGGTTTGCGGAGAAAATGGTAGCACTGGAAGGTCAGAAACAAGAGGAACCAAACACTGTTAAATGCTGTCTGAAAGAGATTCTGTGTTTGTGTTGGCAGGACTTTGCTGTAGGGAAGCATTGAGTTGTATCAGATTCCTGCCGCTTTAAAGAGCTGTGTGCAGTGATGAAATGAAAAGAATTAGCAGCAAAGGATGGGAGAAAGAAGAGTTCAGTGTCAAACAGTTCTCCACCCCTTCCCGTTCCAAGGAGATCCTCGCTAAGGATTAAACTGCTCTGCTACCTGCAGTACTTCTGTGACTAAGAACAGAAATATCAAAGACATTTTTGCAATTCTGAGCATATAGTCTTACTTCTCTTGCATGACACAGTGACCCTTTCTTTTGCTTTTAGAAAGTGCCTCTAGAGAAGAAGGGCTCCTCCAGGGTCACATTGTTTGGGATGGCTCTTTCAAGTCTGTTCCTTTTTTGCCTTCTCTCCTGCTGTCCTTCTGGGATAATCAGAGCTCCCAAGAATGCATCTGACTTTCACAAGCCTGCACGTTGTGACATTGGTTTATGATGTGTTTGTGTTTTGATAGCATTTCTGCCTTGACCCCTCTGGACAGTAAGAGAAGCCCAGACATTGCCACAGAGACTCATGCTGAGGAAGAAATCACCGTTTGTCCCGGTATGAGTACTGTTATAATCCACTTGCGGCTTTGAGTCAGGAAGGTCATATCTTTCCCTTGTGGAGAGGGCAGTATTGTTTGGAAGAATTTAGATTGTGGCTTTCCACATATCTCAAGCTAGTAAGTGGCCATCTTGAAAAAGGCACGGTCAGAAGTCTGGGAAAACAAAGTCCTACCTGATTCCACACATTCCAATCTGTGTGTGTCTGACTTGGCCAGAACAAAGGCAGCCCATTTGACCATCTTTATAGCCTTTTACCTGGGCTATAACCTTAGCGGCACACTGGAGAAGTACACATAGGGCTTCATGTTTTCCCTCATGGGCTTTTTTTTACTTCCCTGAAATATCTCCCTTGGGATCATATAAGTGATGCTGCTAGCACATCCACACTGCTGTGCCTCCTGCTCCCCCCCCCCACCTCATTTGCCTGGCACCAGGATGGGGGTGAGTACTACCAGCTGAACTGCTTTGTTTTGTCTTAGTGCCACTTATGTAAGTGTTTTATGGCAGTCTTTATTTCTTAGGTAAGCACACTGGGACAAGAACTCTTGATCTTGTCTTTCAGAAATGGAATGAAATATTTCTTCCTCTTAGTTGTCTGGTTGAGCAAATGAATTTTCTTCTGTGTGTTCGGCAACAATGTGTTTAATGAAGCTGCAATGGCTATTAACTCTTTGGATATCCTATCCAGACGTGCCAAATACACTTTTACAGGTCTAGGTGGGCTGCCTAGTAAGAAGCCAGGGTCCCCACCTGCTGGTTCTGTTGAAGGCATCCTGAACAATGTGTGCTTTTTTCCCAGTTCAGAGCAAATCAGTCATATGGCAATGCGTATAAATCCATCTGCCTTAAGCATACATTTGCAAAACCATGCTGGGGGAAAGGACTTTTTTATATTCAGTAAGCAAGAAAATTGTTCAAGGTTAGATTGTTCTCTTCCAGACCCAATGTGATTTTGAAATTTATTTTTCTAAAGCAAGCTTTTTTCAGTGTCACATCTCCTACAGGAACAGGTTTAATTGTAAGGTTCCCTGCAGGAAGCTGGATGTGGTTTTCATTGTTGGTAATAACTGAGGGGTGGTGTTCTAAGGGTAGAAAGAGAAGGCAAACTATAGCAAAGTGATGGTGTGTTGTCCTGAGTTGCAGAGCTTTTCTCTTTTACTGTGCTGTCCCCTGCAAGCACCAAACCAGTCCCCACACCCTATCGATTCCTGCTCCCCATTAAGCTGTAGAGTGGCAGTAGCTTTCTCCACACATTGCTGCACTATAGCTTTAAACTTCTACTCCAGCTATGTTGTTGCACATTGTCTGCTAACATTTGTGACAAGTCTAAAAAATGTTTAGAAACTGTGAAGACACTGTAAAGCAAATGGGATAAGTTTTATCAGCTAGTGTGGAATATTCGTGCTGGGGTGGTGGTTGGAGGGGGGCTTGTGGAGAACAGGGAGAGGCAGAGCTGCTGCTAACATGGGAGACTTCTGTTGCAGAGACCCAGCCGAGTCCATCACAAGCTATCGAGCCCGAGAGCAGAGAAATCCATTCATCCAGCAAAGATGTGTCTCTGCAGGTAAGCAAATCCCTAAGGGATAACAGCCTGTGAAGCGTCTGGAATGCAGAGTCTCGTTTCCTGCCCATCTTCCAAAATGAGCTGCTTTGCAAACTATGCAGCCTGCTATGAAATGCCTGCGCAGTCTCGCTGGATCTCCTGTTGTTCTCCCTCCCTTTTGTCAACAATGCCTTGCAGTAATTTCTGTTCCCGTCTTGATGGCCATGGACTGCAAACTCGGCACCTCTGTTAGCTGAAGGGATTGCTGTTGACTTTCTCACATTTGTCATCTTGCGTGTAACACCTATCATTGTGTGCACTGTGGGTTGCCATGTGCCCAGGGACCCTGCCGGACGCCGCTATGGAAAGAAAGCCAGTTGCTTGTCCCTGAGAACTCATGTCTGACCGAACTAAAGGGGTTACAAGATGTTGGCAAAACCAAATTTGCAGTGTGATTGAACTTTTGCTGTTGGTTCTTTACTGCTCTCTGGAATGGGAGATGGTTAGCATGTTTATGCAAAACAGGAAATGGGCAGAACATGAGGCATCTGTGCACTGGTCTGAATGCTGCTGTTTAATTTTGGAATGGTCACCATGAGCTCCCTGATTTACCAACCTTGGCTATTTCTCTGCAGCCAAGAGAAAGGCTTCCCTTCCTTGCCACACCATCACCAAACAAATGTTGTTGTCTTTGCTTTGGCTCCCTGTAGCACCACACCTGTGCTGCAGTCACCATGCAGCTGTCACAACAGTGGCATCTGACTTCAGTTGCTGTTCCTGGTAAACACACCTATTCAGGCAGCAGTCTAAGGGGGAAGGGTATATCAAAGGAATTTCCAAGTACGGTTCTGTCAGGATACATGAACGCAGGGAAGCCTGACAAGATGATTCATATGTAAAAGATGAATTCCTAGAGTCTTCCGTCTGTATATGGTATATGTCTTTCTGTCTGTGGTAACAACCGTACACTGTCACAGGCATCTTACAACATTTTGGTCCCTCTCTGATGCATTTCATAGCTGGGGATTATCAGGGAGTTTGTATTACTGATCTGCTAGACCTTCGGGCTGAGAGTGGACTAGTGGACCATGTGAATTGCCAAATTCTCATAGTCTATGCTGTGTTTGCATAACCAAAAATGGAAGGGAGATCTCTAAGGTGGTGAGAACTATAGGAAGGTCTCTTACATTTTATGAAAGGTTGCATGGTGGGATTTGTATCTTTAAACAATGATTCAGGTAGACAGTCAGCAGCAGGTCAGAATAATGGTCCTTCTGAACAGGATAGCAGCACATCTTAAGCCTTCCAGTGCTAGCCTGGCTAATCAGGTTTCAAATGCTATGGTAGGCATTGCACCCACAGAAGACTAAATTACCTTGTGTTATACTACTGTGTGGTTAATGGGAGACGAGCTGTTCAGCAGCCAGCCAGGTTTCCAAGCTACACGCTGTGTTGCTGTCCCATGGGCACAAGCCCTGTTTGAACGAGCCCTGATGAGACCTCAGTCACTCAAGACATATCTTCCTGCAGGCGGCATGGGCTGCTGCTGCTTTCCTCTTTGCTGGGTGGGCAGTCAGACATGCAGTGAAGGTTTTTTCCAGCTGTTCTCCCAGAACTTGTTAAAAGCGATTTTGGGGAAGGGGCTCGCAAGTGTTGCTACACAATGCCACATTTACATTCGTAATGAGTTATTTGCTGTGGGAATGTAAGTGGCTTACTTGGACACCTGGTATTTGTAAAAGATGTGATCTGCAAGGCTGTGCGAAGTGGAAATGGGAAAGAACAGAGAGCTCTTCACATCCGTGTATGTGTCATCTTATTACGGTAACACGGATTTGATCAGAACTCTTCGTCTTTGGCATCTGTCTCTCTGCAGTTGGCGTGTCTTCATGACACACCACTGTATAATGGCACTTAACGAGATGTGGCAATGCCAAGATCTGAAATACCTAGGAAGATGTGTTGTTTTTGTAGTAGTAGCTACCGTGAAACAGAACAACTGCAGAACTCTCAGCCCAATTCTTATGCTTTGGTGTCAAGTGTCTTTAGAAAAGAGTTTTGTGTGGGGTTTTGCCTGCAGAATTGTTGACAGTGCCTGCAATTTGGTGCTGATCACCTGTCAGCAGGGAATTTGGCACATTTGAGAATGGTCCTTAAAAAAACAACAACCAATCATACACACCCCCACACATGCAAGCAGTCTTCAATCAGTCAATGAAATTCCTCACATAGAATTGAGCTCTTGCTTGACAATGTAGATTCTTTAATGAAGCTGCTAAGCAACAGGCCTACATAATGGAGACCACTCATAAAACAAAACACGAGGCATTCCTAAAAGCAGTCAGTCAAGTTACCTCTAGTGTTGGTTTCCTTGGAACCACACAGTTATAAGGACATAAATGACAGTTTCGGGGGGGGGGGGTGTAAGAATGTGTGTCTACTTGTCTCACCCCAATAAAACCCCACATATCCCACAGGTTTCATCTAGCTGGTTTAATATTTAAACAGACGTTTTAATGGTTTTGGCAAATCTTCTTCACTTCAAATGTTTAGGAACCTTTTAGGTAGACTGACATCAGGTAGAAGCCCTCCAGTATCAAGAATAAGATAGCAGTACTCTGCCTTTTGTCTGTGATAAACATGAATAGTTTAAGGCAGAGGCTCTGCCTTTCCAAGGGGGAAACACACAGTGACTTGGATACTCTGCTGGAGATAAAAAAAATGGTGAGTTTAATGATATGCAGATAATAGTGCTTTGCTTTATCCTACAAAAAGCCAAGAAAGAGCTCTGATTTGTTTTTCTTTGATCCTGTATTCCTGCAGGAGAACTAGGGACTGATTTTGTAGAACCAACATGCTTCCCACATGCACACCGAGCCCCCAAGGTGGCTTTTAATTCATATTGAGAGTTAATCCAAAGTAACTGCTATAAGTCTGCAGTGTATTAGTCACCAGAAAGCTACTGGGATGTGTGGCAGGCAGGTTTGTAGTTTAATGGTAGGGTTCGTGATTTGTGTGTTGAAAGTCACAGACTCAGTCTCTAGCATCTCCAGGTAGGACTGGGAAAGAATCCTGCCTGTCACCCTGGACAGCCATGGATGCCCATCAGTATTGACAATCCTGGGCTAGATGGACCAGCAGAGTGAATATAGGGCAGCTTTCTATGTTCCCATGAAACAGAGTGTTGGACCTGGACTGAAGGGACTTGGGTTAAATCTTTCACTGTACCATGATGCTTACTGATTAGCTCTATGTATGTTTCTTGGCTTCACCTCTGCCCCATGTAGTTCATATTTACCATCTCTGAAGAAGGGTAGGATATAAATGGGATAGCTATGCTTTTCTTTCTTTCTTAAGCCACAAGAATCTTTCCAATGTTCTTGGCAATGGTTATTAACCACAGTCCTAAAGGGGTAGATTGATCAGTGGCTTTAACCAGTGATTGTTATAAGAGAGCTTTTCCTATTTAGAGCCCTGCCATTTTGATTGTCAACTGTTAAAGGAAAAGCAACACGGGTGGGCTAATCAGTTTGTCCTGTTGCTCCTCAAGGGTGGCCAGATGATGATGCAAAGCTCACAGACTTCTGCTGGATCTTTAGGAAGAACACAAAAAGAACTCTGAGTCAGGCCAAGGGTCCATCTAATTCAGCCTTCTGTCTTCAGTGGTGGCTTGTCAATTGCTTCCAGGAAGGCCCTCTCCAAAAGGCTTCCTAGAAGAATCTGACAAGCCACTGATGAGGTCAACTCCCTCCCTCCCTCTTTTGTCATCCAGAAACTGGTCTGGTACTGTGAGGCAGTTCTTAGGTGGTCATATTTTTAGTCATTCCAGTTCCCTTTCCCTTTCTATATCCAAGTAGAGGAGCACTAGGAAATAGTAGTGCTCAGTGGCAGCTAGAATGTGTGTGTGTGTGTGCAATTTGAAAGCAAAACAGATAACTTTAAAGAGAGCTTTATTTAGAGGAAACAAGAGTAGGTCGTAAAATGTAAGAAAATAAATGTAAAAATAGCATGCTTAATTAGTGAAATTCTAGCATAGAATTCTTTGTCAGGACACAGCTCTTTATCAGCAGAGTTCTCATATTATCTGTTCATTTGTATTGTAAAATGAGCCTCTTTTCACAGTACCTGGCAAATCTCAATTTCAAGTGGACATCACCCAGGATGGTACTGGCTTTATGGCAATGAATCATGCCTTGCCTGATAGGGGGGAAAAGTAGCTTGATTTTGAGTTGAGTGGTTTGACTGCATTTCTGATTATTTTTACATACAGACTTGAACCCAAGTGGAAATCAGGGAAAATGAAATAAGCAAGTGGAGGCCATAAGATATTCAAAAATATCTTGTCCATCAGGAAACACCATTGAATAGAATTGTGATCAAAGGGCTTCCTTCCAATACACATTTTTCTGCATGACAATTGTCTCAGTCTCTTAGTTTAACCTTTGGATTTCATGAATCCAGTTTTACACAAATGGCTGTAACTGGCTACTATGCAACCATGACCTAGCTAGGAAAAGTCTTCTGATGGACTGAAGCTAGTCATGAGAATGAGGGCAGCTTCCTTTTTCCTTGGAGGGATGCACACTCAGAAGGCAGTGCTGTCACCAGACTAAAGCCTGGACTAGGCACATAGTTTCCATCAGTGGTGTTCATTTTTGCTTGCTGACACTCTCACTTTCTCAATTTAAGGATGTTTTACACTTTCCCAAGAGAATCACAGTGGCAGCACAGGTGATCTTCCTTTAAATAGAACACATGGCTCTCCAGGGAACCCTCATGGCGATTTGGGAGGACATGGTGTCTTTGAAGAGAGCATTAGATATTAGCACTGTAGCATTCACTCATCAGTAGAGGGTTTTTTTGACCTGTTCTGTGGGAATAAAAATCAGGGCTGGAAGTGATGAACCTTGGGAGGGTCAGCAATTGAAGGAGATCAAGGGAAATGGGTTGAGCATGCAGAATTAGAACTGCAAGGAAACCAATCTGGCTGATCTCTTATTCTCATTCTCAGGCTGATGCAGATGAAGATGCTGGGGAGGACATGTCTGCACACAGCCCTCCAGCTGATGACCCCATGTCATGCCCACTCTGTGACCGCAGATTCCCAGTTTCAGAAATCGAGCTCCATGCTATGTATTGTAATGGTATAGGAGAGGAGACAATGGAAGATGCTCCAGGTTTGTTAAACTTTTCTCACTTGCCACTTATTTGTAGTGGTTGTATCCAGTTCTTGCCCAATCCTTCTGTATTTTTCAGATATCATAGATATAATCTTAAAGTCAAAGTTAAATGGAATCCAGTGTAATCATCCTGTTTAAGTCCTTGCCGGAAAACACTACCTTAAAAGGGAGTCATTGACAAATCACTTATACCAGGTCCTCAGATTTAGAAACATCGAAACATAGAAACAGAGTGAGTCAGAAGGGGTCTCCCAGGCCATCTAGTCTGACCTCTGGCACCAGCCGGCTCTGCTGGGGGGTACTTAAGTACTCTGGAGACAAGGCCCATGAGCTGGTGGTGGAGAGAAAGGACCATGTGGCCTTCCTCAGAACCAAGTTGCCAAGATAGGAATTGGTGTCCTTTATATCTCCCAGTGGAACTAATTGGCCCTTTAGTGTTCCATGAAACTCTGCTGGAATTGTCTACAGTTCCCTAACCCTGACCAGAAACCCGAGTAGTGCAGTCAGTTGGTGTCCGAGCAACAGGTCTCGTGGTGCAAAGCAAGAGTCACCTAACAGTTTGTGCAGGCAAGTATGCACCCTACTCTGGAGCTCTTAGGCCTAGCATCTTAGCTTACCCATCAGACCCTGTCATGTTTTCCAGTATAGCACGTGTGACATCCATTTACATCATTCTCTTGGTTCATGTTAGTCAGCACTAGCCCTCTTGACTAGCTATTGTTTCTCATCCACAACTTACCTGGGCCCAAGTCCACTAAACTTCCTCTTGGTACTGTGAAGTCTTGCCCATAGTCCTGGACAACATCCTTTGTGACTACAGTTGGAGTAAAAGAGCTACTCTCTGCAAAGGACTTTTCTAGGCAGTTATTTCAGGTGATTGATGGTAAAGCTGGCTCTGCTTGTTGTGGAGAGCTTCCTAAATACTTAATGACACAAGACTCTCAGCCCCACCTTCCTCACAGGGTTGTTATTGCTAGAATAAGATTGAGAGGAGGAGGAGAATTATGTAAGGCACCCTGAGCTCCTTGAAAAGAAAAAAGGGCAGGGTATAAATATAAATAAATAAATCACACATGGGCTCAGACGTTCCAATGTATTCAGTGTAACTTGCTCCATAGGATCATAGTCTTGACTCCTTCATTTCTTCCATGTTGAAGAGTAGCTCTTTTCAAAGAAGGATGCTCATATATGGCCATTGTACTATTTCTGGAAAGTACTCTCAAATATCCCAGCTTTGAGTAGATTGAATGTGTATGTACAGGAACCTTCACTATTAATTATCTGCCTTGGGTGGTGAAACATTTTTGCATTTTAATTAATGAGGGTAGCAATCCATTGTTTCCACAAACACAGTGATTTTCTATTGAGCTTTTAGTTAAGTGAATGGGGCCACTAAGGCTTGGTCTTTCTTTTGTTAAGGTAGGGGTAGGGCACCTTATCAGTACTGAGGACAACATTAGAAATGCATCATAAGCCAGAGGGCTGTTGCCAGTTTGAATTTTTCATGGCATGTGATTAACATAATTGGCATAGCTTTTTTTTGTTAACCTTGTCAAGCCAAGTTGCAATAAATTATTAGCAAGCTTTGTTCTTATTCTGAAATAATTCTGCTAAAATGCGAAAAAGTTGATTTAGTCTTTACAAAGTCTTAGATAGATTTAGTAATTGTGCAGGTTAAACGTAGTGAATTTGAATGATTTTTTATTCTAGTTTCTTTGCTTTTGACTATTTAACTCTTGCCATTTCTTGTCCAAACTTATTTCTGCTCCAATGAGGACTAGTAACAGTAGAATGAGAAGGGTTATGTAATCAGATTTCTAATTAGTTTGTGGGGTTCCTGATAATGTTTCTGGGTTACATGCCTACCTTTCTTTGAAACATTTGTGTACTATGTATGTGTTTCAATTATTTTATTTAATTAAACATATATAAATACACTGCATACAACATACACTCACTGCTATGCATCTTGGATTATGTAACATACTCATATGTTTCTATGAGCTTAATGCAACTTGAGATATAGGCAAAGATCCCAGATGCTTTTACCATAACTGTGGAGCATCTAAACTGATCTTCATTGCAACTTTGAAGAAAATGGCTTTTAAAACTCTGCTGTATAATGCTTCAGAACATTTATGGCAGATGTCTGCTTTTGAACCTTGGAAAACCTTGGAATCAGACAAGTCAGGCAAAGTCTTTTTTAAAAGCCTCTTCTAGAAGCCTCTTCTGAGTTGAGCAAATCTGAATCTTGATGGAACTGCCACCTGAATGATCCAAGGCTAGTCAAGTTTAAGAACATAAGAAGGACCATACTGGATCAAACCAGCTGTCCATCCAGTCCAGCCTACTTTTCACACAGTGGCCAACCAGCTGTCCATGGGAAACTGATAATCAGGACATGAGTTCAACAGGCCCTCCCATCCATGTTCCCCGGCAACCTGTGTTACATAGATGTATTGTGTCTGATACTGGAGAGAGTCATCAAGACTAGTATCTCCTGCATGGATTTGTCCAGTCCCACTCCAGCTATCCAACTTGGTGACCATCACTACATCTTATGAAGTGAATTCCATAGTTTAATGATGGACTGTGCAATATAGTAGTTCATTTTATTTGTCCTTAATCTCCCACCAGTCAGCCATGGGTTGATCCCTGGCTCTAGTGTCATGGGAGAGGGAGAAGTATGTCTCCTCCTTCTCTTTCTCCACACCATGCATAATTCTGTACATTTCTGTCATGTCTCCCCTCACTTACCTTTTTTCTAAGTTAAACACTCCCAGCAGTTGTAACCTTTCCTCATAAGAGAATTTTTCCACCCACTTAATCATTTTATTTTCCCTTTTCTGTACTTCTTCCAACTCTGTAATCCCCTTTTTAGGTGAGATGAGGTGAGCAGAACAATACAGTGTTCTAAGTGGGGTCATAGGTCTGTAAAATTGGACCCAAATGTGGCTGCATTGGATTTGTTTGGCAGTTTCCCACTATATGTGAACTCATAGCACTGCGGTCAGTGTTTCCAACTGGTTAATTCAATGACTTTTACACTTCTTACTATGTTCTAGGTGATACCACTTTGGATTAAATCCAAGGTTGTCTCCTCTCTAGTTGCTTCCACAACCAAGGGTTCTAGGGCACAGTCGTATAAGACACTGACAATGTTGTGATTGGAACATGCATTGATCAAGCTGTACATGGGGAATTGTGAAGTCTCCTATTCTATAACACTTCTGCATTTGGAGGCCTCCCTGACCACGGTGGGCATTCTGGTCCGGAAGATAGTAGCATATTCCTACCTCCTGTACCGCACCCCCCCCGGGGGGGGGTGAATCTGAACCCAGAGCTCCCCAGTCTTATCCACCAGGAACCAGATGCACTGGATTCAGCACACTCCCATCCAAGTCCTTGGAGAAAACAGAACTCTATTGAGCAGGAACACACGATAGGATTGGAGGATTTAAAAGGGCAAACCCTGAGCAACACAGACATGCACACACAAGAGGGAGAGGGAAATTGGAAAGCAGCATACAAAATACAAAGTTCAAATCCTAAACATAATTTCCAAGCCCTTTTACCATCTCAGACTTAAAACAACAAAGCTAACTAACCTACCACTAATACCAGATAAAATACTTAGCTGGGCTTTCTTGCGAGTAGCCTAACAAGATGGAGCCTTTGGCAGCAACTGGTTTCTTTCAGAAGAGGGGACAAATGCCAGCCCGAATGCTCTCCTTAATTCCGTGGGGTGACATCTCCTGAGCATTCCCAGGTAGGACCTGTTGACTTGATGACCGCCACCTCTCCGGTACCCTTCCCCGGAGAATGTGAATTGCCCTGTCCTTGGATGAGTTGCAACATTGTGATGTTTTTGCTATTCCTCCCTCTGCTCAGCCTCAGCACTGAAACAGCCTTGAAACTGCCACTTGGGCTCTGCCTTGTTTTACTTCCTTTCTTCCCCCTTGGGGCATTGAGCCCTCTCTGCTACACCTAGTACTAAAATAGTTTTGGAACCCAGTATTGACCCCCACAGAGCTTCTGTGAAGACATTTGCCTTTTTTAGTTTGAGGCCACTCAGTAATATGTCCTTCCTGACATGCAGAGCAGCACCTTCTCTAGTACATTTCCCTGTCCTTCCTAAAGAGTTTATATGCAGACATGTCCATGCTGTATGGTTCTCTCCATTCCACCCAGTGCCCAGAATGCACATAAAAATTTAGTTTCTCCTTTAAAACCATTTGTAACCAGTACACTCCTATAACTTGTTGGGATACGGAGTGTCTTTAACTTTCCTAAATCGCCCTCTCTTTCTCTTAGTGGGTAATGCTGTCATCAGGGATTTAATCCCATTCTAATTATTTAACCTCCCACAGTATTGTGCCCAAGCTGTTAGGCTCCTGAGGATGAGATGCAGATACTCAAGCAGTCTATGACTCCGAGTTAACAATAAACAAAACAAAACTGTATTTGTACAATAAGCATATTGGTTTCAAGATGTTCTGTAACATTTTCTTAGTAAATAAAATGATGCATAATAACTTTGGCTGAGATATATCACTCTTTGTCTTCACAAACACACCTCACACACAGACCCTCATTTCTCTCCTGCACTCAGGTTTCGGTCAGCTTCTCTCTCACACACACCCATATAATATTTGACAACATTAGGCTCTGACTCTCCCTGGTCTCTAATATGTCCTCTTAGTGTTCTACTTCCTTCTTTAGCATCTGCTTCAGCTTTTCACAGCACTATCTGGGATTCCAGTGAGAAGGCTGCCTCTTCGGACCCAGGAGACTGCTGAGGGACCACCACTCTTTGACTGAAAAGTATCTTATTCTCTCTCCTCACTCTTCCAAGCTCCTCCCACACATGCTCAGTCGCCAATCATCTCACTCACTCATCCCCCTCTTTTACCCCCCTTGCCCTTCTGAAACTTACCAACATTTAAAGGAACACAGTCCCACAACACTTAAAATAATTATACCTTTTGTGAAGTTAGTTAGGTTGTCCTCATAGTTCCCCGTTGAATCAGTACCCTTGAAAGCTCGTACATGGTGTCTGAAGCGTGCTGAGCCCAACTTGACTGATGCTAGTTTGAAAATGCTGTGTTTTGCACCCCTAGCACTTGACTACTGTCTTCTTCAGAACTGTTTCTATTTGGCCGCCCTATGATCAGAGCAGTAGCACAGTGTGGAAGAAAATCAAAGCCCTGCTCACCATCCTTCTCCTTGATCTGCTCCAAGAAGGCTGCTAAAGTTCTCCCTTACAGTTGACTTAAGGGTCAATGATCTATTTTCAGGACTTCTTAATTGGATTTTCTCTAGAGGCTTCTGGTACTATAAATGCTTAACATCTTTTAGTGTTTTCTGTTACAAAGGAGCCCCTGTGACTTGTCTGTCTACTGTTTGGTTATTGCCTCCCATAAATTTGCTGGCTTTTGTTTGCACATATAACCTAAAGAAGCTGCTTCAGCTTGGATGATACTTAGGGCTGTTCATTCCACACTAGTGCAGTTGAATGTCCTTTTGTGTACCTGCACATGCTGTGGCTGACAGTTGTACTTTTAAGCCGTTGGAATTTTGCCCTTAGCTGATCTGTCTCTTTCCTGCTAAGTCTGCTGGAAACTATATTTCAGGAAACATGCAGATCACCATCATAGGTGCTATTACAACTTAACATGCCTGGAAACAAGCTGGGAAGCATACAGCCAAGCAGGGATTCAGGAATGAGATACCTGAAAGCATACTCTATCATCAGGAAAATACGTGCAAGAATTGATGTGCAAGTGGCGCAGGAAGGCCTTTTAAGGTGTTACCTCCGGGGTGGGAGGGCCGTCATTTCAGCCAGCAAAATCTCTCAGAATGGCATCTGCAGTAGTGTTGCTGAAGTGCAGAAGCATGTAGGCCAGCAGGTCCTCCTTGGACAGACAAACGACCACTCTGGCCTATTCTGGCCCAGGAAGGCCCTTGAAACTCCCTACTGGACTTCCCCATTTGAAACCCACCCCCCTGCTACACCCTTTGGAATGGCTTAGTGGAAGCAGCATTCATTCCCTTCCATTTTGCCCTCCAGATATTCCAGGAATGTTTAAAGGAGAATGCTGTCCCCTTCCTGAATCACAACATGTGTCCAGCTTCATTCCTCCAACAGCAGAGTGGCAACCTTACTAAAGACATCCAACTTTGTAGTAGGTCAAAGCAGGGGCCCATTCTTCCTGCAGTCACATCTCAGGTGCAAAGTGATGCAGTCTTCAGTTTTCTGAGCTGCGCCCATGTTGATGCTCTTTTTAAAAGAGCTTCCACACCAAGACAAGTGGCACTGATATAGAACGGGAGGAGGAAAGAGCTTCATCGCTTTGTAGAAGGGCCAATATACAAGAAATTATTTCCCCTAGTAGGATGCTGCACAAAGAATAACACGGCTTTGTAAATGAGAATAGGTTCTTAATGCAGGAGGTGGGGAAAGACCTTGTGTAGAGGCAGTGGGAAATCTGCTGCAAAAGGCAATCAGACACTTGATATCATCATCTGTCCCATTCAGGGATACTTCTCAGTCTTTGTAAAGAACTGGATGTCAGTTCTACCCACTTTTGATATGTGAAAATATAACCAAAAGGAGCCACTTCTGAAATCAGACCCATTTATAACTTTAAAAATGCTGTGAGCTTTGCTGGTTTCCTCCCTGTGGGGATATCTTCAGCAGTCTTTCCAGTATTCTTGCTATGGTGCTTTTTCATAGAAATTAGAGTGCAGGAAGGAATCTTCAAGAATGGAAGTTGTACTCTGTGTCATAGCTTGTGTGGATGCAGTACCTGTGTTGGCCCCGCAACTGTTTCTTGCCGTATTGTGGATAAATGGGCTACTGGTACTGATTTCACAGAATTGCAATGTGGACTGCAAAAGTATCGGCTGTGCCTCCTGGCTCATATTTCTGCAAAATGGCCCATACAGACACATGTTGAGACCAGTAAATTTCTAGTTTATCACACCTTCAAACATGAAGGTGGCTTCCAAAAAACCATGTATATTTTTAACTCTTGAGACAGATATACTTTCACTGGGCCTAGGCCAAGAGAAATGTTTGAGGTTATGTGATCTGTCTTCTTTTCCCATGACCCAGGAAGTAGTTTGGACAAGCTTGCTTAAAATTTTATAGGAACCAAACAAATCAAAATGTACTAACTTAAAAAAAAAAGATGGAATTCTTAGAAGTTTACCAAGCTGTATAGGAGAGCTACATGTTGCACCAGCTGGGAATATTCTAATTTGCTACCTTGAGTTCTCTGAGCATCTCAGGACACATGGAGAAGGCTAGCCAATCTGGAATGTACCAACAAGAAATGAAATGATACCAAGAAAAACTCAGCGGATACAAGCTCCTTTTGCACTGACAGAAAGAAATCAGAAGCTGATGAAGTTTTAATTCGACTACAATGAGTATTGTGAACATGTCGGACTTAACCCAGCAGGTTTTGAGGGAAGATGCTGTGCTCATTTTGTATCAATGGTTTAGAGGAATGCACATTCTGCCTTTGCTCTGAGAGGAGATTTTCTCCACAGGAACCTTGTTGTAGGCACGTGGGCTCTGCTGGCGGTAAGCTCAGCTAGCACAGTCCTGCAACAGTGCAGTTGAAACCCGCATTGGGAATGGAAGCAGGCCAACTCATCTGATGGGCGGTGCCTATTGATACCATCCCTGTTCTTTCTGTAGCTGCTCCTAGCACTGCAGCTGTAGGTCTTTCCTGATGTTTCTGTACTGCCAGTCCCAAAGGTTTCTAACGGGCTTGCTGTGCCAGATGTGTTCTCTTCTCTTGGAAAAAAATAGCACTGATTAACACCTGAGCTGTGCACGAGGCACTCAGAGAGAGAGAGAGAGAGAGAGAGAGAGAGAGAGAGAGAGAGAGAGAGAGAGAGAGAGAGAGAGAGAGAGAGACTGTCTGTTACAGGAATATTAACAACTGGCTTAGAGATTTGCTCTGCTTATGCTGCAAACAGTCCTATTAAAATGCCTTTGGGAGTGTCAAGTGATTCTGGGATTAACAGTGGCGTATGGAAGCATCTTGCACCCAGGTCACTAACTCAAGCTTACAAAAAAAAAAGAGCTATCCTGTTTTGATGACTGGTTTGTGTGAGTATTTTGCTTCCCTCTTCCCTCTGCCCAGTGGGTACCTCACAATCCTGTGCAAGGGTAAGCATCAGCTTAGAGAGCCCACAAACTGCGTACTGGTCACTGCAGCATGTAAGCAGGGAAAATGCATCCATTAAAACTAGCAGGTGAGCTGGCCTGTAACAGCAACCACCAAGAGATCAGGAACAAAGAAAGTGTGGAGCCAAAATAGATGCTTCGAGGCCCAGGCTGTGCTGGCACTGATAAGGCCTCTTTCTGTTCTGAACTCTGTGGGCACCCACTTTGGAGCAGCTGCTGAGCAAACCATAACTGTTTTATAGTGCCTATAACACTGATTCAGACCTTTCTCCTAATGAGAGTATTGAGCACAGGAAGATCTGATACCAAGCTGTAAAAGTGTTCTAATGCACTGTCCTCCTCACTAGATTGCCCAAGAGTGCTGAAAGCAACATCTGTTTCTGCATTAGAAACCCCAGCACCCTGGTGGAAATGGTTCAGGATATCTGATAAATTCCCCAAGCAGCATAGCTGGTGGCCTGTCAACAGAAATATGTTGAAAGGAAGGAATTCAACTGCATGAAGCAAACATTTAAGAATTACCCCTATAGATGTCTGGTGAGAAAAGCTGGGCTTGCTGAAAAATACATACCACTGATTTCCTTGTCACCATTACTGATTCTAATTAGAAAAAGGAAGAGAGCCATTGGTGGCATGTTTGTGTTGTTAAGTACAGTGTAAAACTCCACACCATTAGTATTTGTTTGAGCGCTCTCTCTCTCTCTCTCCATGTGTTTGTGTGTGTGTGTGTAAATGTATCTTCCTAGTTGTAATGTTTGTAAAGAGAGGGTTGAAAGTGAATCTGAAGGTTGGAATCTAAATGGAATCTTGGACCAAATATCTGCAGATCAGGTGAAGGATCATCTGTTAAAAGGCAAAAGAGGTATATGATCTGAGGATAACACATCTGATACACCTCCACCCTTCATCTCCTGCAGTGCTCCTGTGGCTCTTTGTTGCCATCCTGTCTCCTTTGCAAAAGATTCCAAAGTCTGCCAAAGCCCAGGATTTTACGCAAAATAAATATACCTTAAGGCAATGTTTGCAAATGCAACTGGTTTATTCTGAGCATAGAAACTGAGTATTTTTGGATTGCGTACTAAATAAAATTCTGCCTATGCTACAAGCTTTTCCCCTTTGATCACAGATTTTGAATGCATAGCCTTCCATTGTATACAGTAGTTTTCACCATTGCTCCTTTAGATCATCCATCACAGCTTTGACTGAGGAAAAGGGTCTCACACTTCTAGGATTTAAAGCACTGATCTGGGGGAGACAGGACCCCTGAATCCTCGCATAAAGCAGCCCTATGTTTTGAGGTCCTTACCTGTTCTGTCCTGTATAGAAGAGTCAAGTAAGGAAAGAATCGTTATTTCAGGTGCCAAAACAGCAGTTATTTAACCTAATTTGTTTTAGGCTGCCAAGAGAGGTAATGTGAATGTTGAAATTAAACTATAGATCATTGGAACAACAAAAATTCTTCATGTAAGCCAAGGCAAGTTAAATTCTGCTATCATTAGGTTTTTATGTTATACCGTGTCAGAAGGATAAGAAAGTTAGCAAATGTTCTTTCTGAGTAGAAACTGTACAGCGTCAACTTTCACAGCAGGCAAGATGATGCCATTATAAACTAGGCCTCTTCTTACTTTTCCCACTGTGATGTCCCCAAACGAACTGGTACAGCCTAGGCAGGAGGGCTTTGAAAATGTTTTCTAAAACATGCATGGTATATTTTGTTGGACACCTGACAAACCTCCTGAGGTTCTTAAGAAGAGAGGTGGAGCAACTGTTTTGTTCTTGTTTTGAAGTGATGACCCGGCGACAGAGAGAAGCCAAGATGAAAGCCACCGGTTGCAAAGAGACACCAGAATCTATGGACATTAACAAGTAAGTCGGTTCAGTGCATCTTGAAGCACCTTATGAGTTTTGAATGCTCTCTAAGCCCACCTTATTCTTTCTTGTTTTACATTTTCTCCCTTTGTTTTCGACTATGTCTGTGTTTTCTTCCTGAAAGCATCGGATTAGACATGGTTTCACTAGGGCCTGTTAATACCCTGTGCCCTCCATCTTTCCCATGTTTCTGTTCATCATTGGGACCAGCACCAGGTGGGGCAAGACTATCCTATAAAACTCAATGAGAGGCAGAGGGGTTGGTGTCTAGTCCTCATAATGCTGCACTGGGTTCAGTTTCTTTGTCACATTAGAGGGAGAAGAAATGTTAGGACTGGCATATACATATATGTATATATTTCTTCTTGTCTCTGTCAGAGAGAATCTGATGGAGAAGCCTGGGAAGCATGGCACCTGTAGTGATATCGTTAATAAAATTAGACTTTGTTCAGATGGAGATGGTTTTGTTTAATCTTTCTGGTTGCCACCCCTCCTCCTCCTGCTCCTCCTCCTCCCACCCACACAGCATCACAAGAAAGGATCTGACAGTAAAAATCCCTGCCATGGAAGTAATTTTGCTGTTACAAACACTGGATGGCAACATCACTAATGGAATTAGGCTAATTATAGAGAGGACAGCTTCTGTTTAGACACATTATCTTGGTAATCAGCAGTGACTGGAGAGAAAATATGGAAAAGTACTGTAGAATGGATCATGAAGGGGACTTGACAGATCCATTCTAAGTGCCATGGCATGGCACTGCGAGGCTTGTCAGTCCCCTCCCATGCAGAACCTACAGTTAAGTTTCTGTTCCCAGTTCTGCCTTTGCAGTCACGTTCCTACTGTTCTCCTGTAGGCATCCTCAGGACCTCATTTTCTTTACTTTTTGGGCAGGGTCAAATTCTTCGAAGGTACATCTGAATACAGTAAGACCACTTAGAGTGAAACCAGAGATGAGATAAAATGTCATTTTGTCTAGTACCAAGTTCATGTGCAGTATGTGTTCTTTTCAGTACTGCTTGCTCTAAAATTGTGATGGTGTCCAGAAAGACTTGATATAGATGAATTCACTCAGATCCAGGAAAACATGTCTTTAACACGCGTGCTTCGCTTTTGGGGCAAAACGTAACTCCATTTCACAAAAAGCATAGCACTTCATTTCAGCTGTTGACAGGATGTTTTATATCTGAAGAGAAACGGGCATTGTTTGAGATAGTTTGAGGAGCTGATTTCATTACCATCCCACTGCTGCAGCAGCAGGACACAGAAAAGCAGTTGGGAGAAAACTGCTAATCACTCCATCCCTTTGATTGGCATCAGACCAGTTTTATTGGTCATCCTGCTGTGCCAATCCAGTTCCATTGATGAGGCTTATCCACAGAATGACTTGGAGAAACAAAAGCACTCAAGGCAGAGTAAATCCTAATGTGCTCCTCTCTCTTCTGGTCTGACAGGTATGAGAAGTGTTACCTCTGCAAGTCTCTGGTGCCGTGGAAAGAGTATCAGAGGCATGTCGATGGCTGCCTCCGGAGCTGGGCTGCCAATGGAGCTCTGGGTGGCAGGAAGCTGCGGCACGCAAAGGTGAGAGATGGCACTTCCACAAAGCTGCAGGTGCCTTTTTTGGGATCACACTTATATGCACACACCAGCCATTCTGTTCCCGATGCTGTCATTTTCTAAAGCAAGGCTGTGAATGGCCAATACCTCTAACCACAGAAGTAGGCTCTGTTGTGCTGCCATTCAGACCATCCCCAGTTGCTTGAGAGCCACTTTTCCTTGGGATGATCCTACTCAGCAGGGGCCTGTTTTCCAGATGTTGTTAGATTCCTGCTCCTGTCAGCCCCACCTGTCTGATAGGAGTTATGGTTCAAAAACAGACAAAGAGCTAAACATTCCTCATGTCTGGTCTAAATGATATAAATCTGTGGGCAGAATGATTCGCACATTCTTTTGTGTGGGATTAGCTTCCCAAGAGGGCACTTGTTCCATGGATTTGATCTACGCAGTGTGACCCTGCTTGTATGGCTCCACCATTCTGAACGGGCCCCAGCCACATGGGACGTGCTGCTGTGGATCCAGTAAATAAATAAATCCAAGCCCTATACTTCAAGGGCAGGTGCAACTGTGAGGAATGATGAACTAGAGTAAGATGATCACTGAGGAGAGGAAATGGCAGCAGAATGTAATAGCTCTGAGCACAAATAAGGCTTAACTATCGTGTCATTCAGATTCCCACAAGCTTGAGGCATGCTTTTTCATGAGTTGATCTACATGCAAAGTGGAAGTACAGATCCCTGCTCAGCACTATGCCTAAAAGAGTATTTAAGTTCTTCAAATGTTTCTGACAGGACTATGTGCTTAAAATGACATTCTTAAATTCTTAAGGTAGGATGAGATTCTAGATTCTTGGATAGGATGAGAGGAGAGTACCATAAAGCCTCTGTCCTTGACTGTTATAATCCCAGTCCAGGCCCTCTCCCCCTGCTTTTGATCTGGTGTTGCCTGCTAAACATTTTTCCTCATCCAAAAGTGCTAACAACTTGCTACAGTATGTAAATCTCAGAAGATGACTTCTTCTTCTGCAGTCATATTTCAGAACACAGTATTTCAGGGCATACTATGCTGTGCTCTAGAAGTTCTGCAGAAGTCATTCATACGCTTGAGAAGAGAGGAGCTGTAAAATGGATTCTTCTCTCCCAACACCAGAAATGAAGCATCCTTCAGTGGAGCTGTTGTGGAGCCTGCAGAACACACACGTGTCTAAAAGAGTCGTTCTTGGTCATCAGTCCTGCTGAACCAGGGCAAAAATGCATACAGGCATTCCAATTTTGCCAGACTTCTCACCCTTGTGCAAGTCTGACTTTGCAATCAGTGTAGCACGGGTACCTGCTTCCCACTTTGCAAGGGGTGTTCCACCTGTTCTTTGGTTGGCATCAGCTGGTCAAATGCTAGAGCTGCACACATGTTATTTCCACTCCTAAAGGCTGTGTTGTAGTCCTAGAGATTTGATTTGATTTTTAAAGCTTTTATATACTGTCCAACTACTAGCATTTTGGGATGGTTTTACAATAAAAGCAACACAAAATGAAATGGCCCACAGCATCTAATACTTCCAGTATAATAAAACCCACATTAAAACCTATTACATATTAAAATAATGGGAAAATAAAAAGGTTTTCACCTGGCGCTGAAAGGAAAAAAGCATCAGTACCAGGCAATATTCCATAATTGGGGTGCCATCTCAGAGAAGGCCCTTCTCTGGGTAACCACCCTCCTAATCCCTTTCAAGGAGGGCTTCCGGAGAAGGATCTCTACCTCCGATCTTAAGGGGCAGGCGGGCACATAGGGAAGGAGGTGCTTCTTCAGGTATCTAGGACCTAAGCCGTTTAGGGCTTTATAGGTCATCACCAGCACCTTAAATTGGGCCCAGACTTCAATTGGCAGCCAGTGTAGACGGTAGGTTTGTTACTATGAAACAATCAATAATGAACCCGTGAGTCTCAGAGTAGTATTTTACTTTCCTTGCTCCTCCTCTCAGTCTTCCAGTTAGGTAGTTCTTTTTTTGTTTTTGGTTTTTTTTTTTTTGCTTTTTCATGGGATGTTTGTCTATAATTTGCAATGTGTACCTTGCTCCATTAAACAGTTGCCTTACACTTCTATCTTGTTATTTTGCATGCTATTCTACTCTTACAGTGACTTATGTGCTCAGCCCACAATATTATAAGCATTTGTGGACATATCCTCTGTAGACATTGCAAAATAATACCTGTTTTTTTGCCATGCCTCGGATGGCATAGGCAAATAAGTTTCCATCTAGCCCAATTGTGTTTCCCTGCTCAGAATTGCAACCTTGAGCAGAGAAGGGCTCTGTCATACTCCTTTACACCAGACTACAGAGCTTGCACAGATTGGGGAATCTTTCTTTACTGCTGCACCAACAGCCAGTGGAGGAGCGAAAAGTCTCGCCATGGCTTCAGTTCGCTCTTCACCCTATAATTCAGTGATGTCCAGGAATACTTCCATGTCATACCATGAACATCAAGGACCATTTTAGAAAAATGAAGAGGGCACAAGAAAAAATAGCTTTCTTCCAAGGGTATGTGTACATTTAAGTGTACTACATGACAGTGTTTAGGCAAATTTAAAATCATATTCACCATGGAACTGCAGTCTAGGGAGTGCATGTCCAGACACTGAACAAATATTTGAGGAATGGCACCTGTGAAAGAACAGAGGTAAACAAGCTATAGAATCTGGAAGAAGAGCATGGTTTTCTTTTTTTAGGGGGGCGTGCTTTCAGTGAGTGGGCAATGCAGGTCTGGGGGAAGGGTTTCAGTAGAGAGCGGGCTGGTAACACGTGGTGAAACTGCAGCCAACTCACTTTTAGGTAAAAGTACTGGAAACATTTCTATGGAAAATTGTACCACAGCTGATGCAAGTAGTCTGTTGCAAATGGCAAGCATGTATTCACACCATGCCCACTGTTTATATCAAGCAGTTCTTCACCAACATGTACGCCAACTCCAGTGCGTAATTGATTTGGCAAAATATTGATCTTGGTCAGTTCGCTACAAGATGACCTGGCTGACCCTGCCTGTTACTAGCTTCCTCTAGGCAAGGTCCTCAGGCCTTTAACCTCAGACATGTAACTGGAGCATCAGCATCCTGGTCCTCTGGCTCTGTCTAAGCAATAGCCTGCCACCTTGCATGCCCTATTTGCAGTAGAAGCCTCTGTGCTGTCTCCTTGTTGATTTATTTCTGATGGTGAGGTTGTAATCCGTGGCAGCAGTGCAAATGCAAAGACAATGCGATTTCTCAGCAGGAAGATGCAACATGATGTCTCAGTTTTTGTCTAACCCCTTAAATCCATCACAGGCCTTAGCCCCTCAGGGATTCGCATGCAAATGACGGGATTGCCTGTTGATGAATTTGGCTGGGACACATCCAAGCATTATGCTGTTTTCAGCACAGTTGGAAGCTGCTGTGTTTCCCAAACCTCTTTCTTCCATGTGGTCAGAACTATGCTTAAAACAGATTCGGGGAGTACTATACTCCTCCTTGCCACCACATGTCCAGTGTAGGCCCTGTTGCTCTTTGAAACTGGCATGAGTGAGCTTCCCCTTGCTCTCATCCGAGCATTATGTCCCCTGACTCCAGCTGCTTGAACTGTTAAGCACACTTCTCTTGAGCTTTTACCAGACTTGCTTTGGTCCTCAAGGAGAGTGGCAGGGAAGCCTGCTCAGAGCTTCTTGAAGTGCATAGTAAGTTTAACAGAGGAATCATCACTTCCAAACTGTCTGAACCTTCAGAGTTAGTAAGTTTACTTTAGTATTCTATCTGATCACCACAGAACACTTGGAATGCAATTAAAATGAACCAAAAGAATGCGATTAACGGTGGATGACATTTGGTTAGGCAAAGGGGATAATAGAACAGATGCACAGCATAACAGAGTAGGATTTCGGTTTCTAGCCTACATTTGATTTCTAGGCGGAAGTTAGGTGTTCCCAGAAACCTGCAGCTGTTCCCCAAGGCAGCAACTCCTCTGCATTCTCCCAGAATGTCTACTAACCTAGAAAGCTTGGTGTGCTGTCTGAGTGCTTGGAATTTCTTCAGCACTGCTCCCTGTGCTGGTTGCTGCTTGCAGAGGTGGGGGATGCTGGAGAGTAGAGCTGTCGTTTCTGAATTGCTGGACACGGTAGAGGCAGAGGAAAGAACGGGGTGGAGCTTCAGTTTTGGTGGTAGCCAGGCAACTCTCACAGCATTTAAGCCCCTCTGTAACCTAAAGATGGAGTTGTTGATCAGTATCTCAAAGCATGCCATCACAGTGGGGCATTTGTCTCCTATATTAAATATGCTTGTCCAGCTGAACAGTCCTGACATTCTCTCTACCCTTTAGTGATGTTTGTGCTCTAATTCCTTTGGATTCCTTTGTCTCCCTTCTCTGGAAGTTTCTGTTCAGCCCCCAGCAAACCAGTTCCACTCAGGCCTTCCTTTGCTACAGCCGGATACTCATTTTTGCCCACGGTTAGAGGCTGCCATCCATCTTTGCCTTTTGATTTGTATGCTCTTGCTCACATGGGCAGGCAGGGAACTAAGGTAGAAAGGAAGATGAACAGAGGAACTGAGATGTTTCCATGGCAATTAACATTTTGATGTGACAAAGGCAAACAGGGAGAGTCTCATCAGCAAAGTGAAGGGTGTCACAGGGGGCCTTTGGGTCCAGAACAGATTGTGGCTCCTTGCAGCATCCTGATAGTTTCTCCCTCCCTCCCTTTAGGATCAGCAGTTCCTACGCCTGGTCTACCCTTGATTGTGGAGTATTGCATCTTTCTCATAAGATGTAGTGATGGCTACAATTTGGATGGCTTTATTAGGGGACTGGATGAGTTCATGGAGGATAAGGCTATCAATGGCTACTACTCCTACTAATCCTATATACTGCCTCCCATATCAGAAGCATCAGAAGTTACTTATAGCCTTGATTTCAATTTTCTGTTGTGTGACAGTATACCAAGTAAAACAAGATAACAAAGAAAGGGTCTTGGAATAAGATCTGGCTTTCTTTGCTCAGCCTAGCTGCAAGTTGCCCAATGTTCCTCTGCTTACACACCAGGTTTCCTATGAGACGTTCTACCCAAGGGACACTTCATACAGAAAATAACAAGAATTTTCTCTTGCTTTGTCACAGGAGGAGGGAAGATGTGAAGGCCGACTCCTGAGCATGCTGGAGGAGTCTGAACACAAGGCTACAGGTAGGAGATGCTGTTGATGCTAGCAGCCATTGGCTAGGCATGGCTTGTTTGAGGGTTTACTGTGTTTAAATAACCCATGACCTGTTGTTGGTTTATTTGAAGACTGCTTAGACCTCCAGTAAGCTATGCTGCCAATGCTGAGCAGTACCAGGTCACCCCGTATAACTTCATTACGAGAACATGACTGCCCTCTAACTATGTAGCACAGTTGTACTATTCCAAATTCAGCCAAAGTTGTTGCTGTTCTTAAATAAAGGTGCTCCTTCATGCACCACAACCACATGGGTTTCAGCCCCGTCTTCTGTTTGGCCATAATGAGAACAAATTCATTACTGGGAACCTCATTCTTGAGACACTATTAACAGGAACTGTGTAACCTTTGTCTGCTTTGCAGTAAGACAGCAGAAGCCCATCCATCCCCTCCTTGAATAGTATATATATGGTTTAAAAATATATATTTTAAACTTTTCATAATTGGGCTTTCTGCTAGCATTTGGCTGTTACAAGATTATCTTCTCACTTCAGCCTCTGCTGATGGCCTCATTCTTGAAGTCTAACACTTAAAATAATTTATAGCCACTTTCTCTCATTTATTGCCATCTCCCCCCTGCCACTTTTGTAGCCCAGTTTGGTCTGACAAACTTTTCCTGAGCCTACAGTTTCTCTGCTTCTCCAGAGAGATGCTGCCAGAAGTAATATCCTGTGATGTTCTCATTTCAGATGCAGAGGTGGCTGCCACACCTTCTCGGGGAGAAGACTCAAGGTTAGCTATCTCCACTTGGGCTGCAGGATCTTTCTGCTGCTAATATGGCTATAGTAGAAGGCATGGTCACCCAGGGCTTCCAACGCCATGCTCTTAGTAAAGTTTAAAAAGCATTAGTAAAGTCAAGAGGATTGCATAGAGCAAGCTAATTTGCTATTGATGCTGTTGAAGAAATTCAGCCCCTTCTGAGTAGGAAGGGAATAAATGCCTAAGAGCAGGCAGCTTTTCCTTAGGAAAAGTAGGTTGTTCTCTGTCAGGCAAGACAGTATTACTTTCCTTCATCTTACAGTTTACCATGAGAGTCTCTCCATTTGCCATTAACTAAGCTCATGCTTTAAAGATACAAACCAGTGATTATTGGATCCCAGTAGCAGTGGAACAACTCCTGATCCTCTGAGTGAAACAACTTATCTTCATCTTTTCCAGTCTGGGTTCAGGCCTGTGTTTGGGACTGAATTGCCTGGGTTGCCATGGTGGATGAGCTATATGAGAAAGAAGATAAGAGAATACATCCCTGTTAGTGTTGCTGGACCTCTGTAGCCTTCACTGCTATCAAACACAGTATCTTTTTTGGAACATCTGGCTTGGCTGGGAGATAGTCTGTATATTTTATAATCTGTGTGATGTCACTGTGAGAGATTGCCAACAGAAGCTCAGTTTTGTCTCTTCCATCAGAATCCAGGAATGCACTGGCAGTTTCGAACTAATTCTTGAATGCAGTGATGGTTTGAGTGTGGGCAACAAACTGAGAAACAGTGTAGGCAAGACAGATGTTCTTGTGGTTCTGGCAAAGCCAGTCCAGGATTAGGTGTACAGCCTAATCTCAGTGGGGTTGCACATCTCTTAAAGGAGGAGGTTTGTGATCTGGGGATATTTCTGGATCTGGCTTTGCTCCTAGATGCTCAGTTTACAGTTATGGCTAGGATGCCTGGCCTCATGCAGGGCTCCAGCTGCACCCTTTCATGGAGCTACTGTCACACATGCCTTGGTCTTATGCACTGCAGCAATCTAACCCTCACATTATGTGGGGTTGACCTAAAAGATGGTTTGGAGGCTTCGGCTGCCACAGAATGTGGCCATCATAGTTCTATCCAAGCCTGTTTTTACAGTGTGGATTGCCAGGCCTGCATGTTAACTATGGCCGGGTTAAGTTACTGTGCCAAGATATCCGTGAGTTTGTGCCATTTCAAACAGTACCTTTGAATATTGGTGATTGAAATACACAGCAGCAGGGGGTTCTGGCAGTTAACATTTGGTGAATTCATCATTCCATACAGTATGAAATGCAGTAAAGAAAATATGTAACATTTACCATCAAAACTAATAGTACAGGGTTTTCGTTTTTTGGTTGGTTGGTTGGTTTGTTTTATTCAGGGAGCTGGGACTCATACAGTATGGAATCCAGAGTATGGGTTCAGAATAATACTAAAATCCCTAAACTGGTTGCATAAAAATATGTTTTGTTTTTAAAAATGCAGATAGTAAAAGGAATTTTTTAAATTCATGTAATGAAAGGAATTGTAGTACAGTTTCTGCAGGTCCAGGCAATATTGAATAAAGGCAATGCATACTTTATTCAGGCAAACAGGGGTTTGGCAATTTCTCACAATACACAGTCAATAGGGCCAACCATTATAAGTTTAGATGTAAATCTCCTAGTAAATCTCCTAGTAAAAATATAGTCCTTAAAATTAATTATTTCAGCCAAGGAGATCACCCAGGCAATTCAAGAGTGCGTCAAGAGTTTTATTTCTGGACTTTCCATGCTTCTTCATTCATGCAAATGACCATGAGGTGAAAAGGGGCAACAGGTGGTGAGAAGTGGCTGCAGACAGCAGGAATCTCAAACAAGACTCTTGGCTCACTCTCAATTAACATGAAAAAAATAAGAAATCAGGAACATAAAAGACTGCTTCATATCTAAGCCTTGGTGCAGCAGGCAAGCTTTGGGTGAAGTCACTTGCATTACGATCAGCTTTCCTGCTAAAATTGCCTTGTGTGAGGCATTCTATAAAACACCAAAAACAAATCAAGAAATAAAGTCCCTAGTTTAAAATCAAACACACACAGCATCACTGGGCTTCTTCTTTGGAACACAGAGTTCTAAAAGAACACAGGGTCAAAACAATAACTAGGGACAAAATGAAAAATAAAAATCCCCATCTTACAGGTATAAAAAGGAACGTACACTAAAGGGATATCAAGATGTCTTCTGAATGAGTCATGAGAAGGACCCATTTACACCCCCCCCCACCCCAACAATGATGAAAAATGCCCCATGTAACAGATAAAAAACAAGAAAGCTGCAATGGTTCATGAATGAAATGAGAGAGAGACAAGTAATTCAAAATTGGCAGCTAGCAACCCAAAAAAACATGAAAAATTGTGTAACATTTGACAGCTGTTTTGATGCAGGACCATTCTATAAACACAAACCGAGTAAGTCATTGATAACCCAGCATAAGTAGGGTTTAACTGGTAGTCCTAGGAAAAAACACAACCTTAGCTTTGTTGATCTGAGGAATCTAGTTTTCGAGCCAATCTGTTTGCTTATAGCAAGCAGTTTTTGCTAGAGCAAACTGGAAAAGAGAAAGGAGCAGCTTTCCCTCTGTCCCCACTCTCCATGCTCTAACACACAAACTGGAGGGAGAAAAGATTTAGAATCTTACTGCATTGGCAAGCTCCTATAGGTAAAATGGATTATATCTAGTAGTGTCATCCTACTAGTGCAAAGTATCTGCTGCTTGCAGAAAACTTGTGATTATCATGGACAGGAGCTAAATCCAGTACTTTAATTCTGCTTGCACAAACTGCTGTACAAGCTGTTGTGCAAAGGGTTTCACAGCGCATTGCTGTGAAATGTGAAATGTCACAAATACTTGACATTCTACTAGCAGTTTTATAAATGCTATCAAAACTAGCACAAGCAATAACAAAGTCTACTTAAGTCACAATGAGTTATGCAACTCCTTTACATTGATTTGCAGAACAGCTTGTGCGATGCATTGTGCAACAGCTTGCACAACAAGCAGAATCAAAGTATAGCTTATGGATGGAAACAGGACTCCCTCCTTGTATTAACAGAGTGACACCACTGGATACAACTCAGCCAAATGCTCTCCAGATAAGCATTAGGGAGAATTCTCTGGTTGCCCCCATGTACAAGAAGTTCAAAGAAAACAGATGCCTTCCTTATCAGCTGCTTGGGTACATGGGCACTTGAAGCACATAGAGTGGAAATCTGGTGGAGAAGCCCCTTTTAAGGGGCGATCACGATTGAAGTCCCCTGTACACACACACGCGCGCGCGCGTTCACCATCCTGCTTTCCTTTACCATCAGCTCTGCTCCTAGTCTGGGACAATTTGGATCAGGCTAGCTTAGGCTTGCAAGCAAGCAAGTTCTTGGAAGTGACAGCAGCAGTATCAAAACGGCCACAAGCAGTGCTAAAGCTAACACGTGTATCTTGAGTCTTCTTTGCTCTTCCTCAGGGTTGGCATAAATTGTAAGCTTTCCCTGGCTCAAGTCACAGTGATCTGGGCAGAGGTTTCCTCAAATCTTTGGGCCTTTCCCAGTGCATCTGCTTGCAGGTTTCCCTGAAGTAGCCAGGCAATGGCACATCACAAAGGCTTGAATAATCATGCTGTGTTCTTGGGGTTTGCAGACCCCCCACTTCTTCCTTATGTGTGCTACTTTCAGGGCAGCTTGATGGGAAAGAGAAGATGGAGACAAAACCTGGCTTTGCCCTCCTTCCCTCACCCAGTCCTCTGCAGTGATATAAGTTACAGGGTTCTTTCTAAATTCAGCTATAAACCCAGTTGCCTCTTTTTCTTCCACAATGGGCAGCATCACCACTTGCAAATGAGAAATGCTCTCTCCCTCTCCCTTTTTTTAGCTTTTGGATGACATGTTCAGGACTGGTTCCAATGGACCGGGAACATGTAACACTCTCTGACCTGGGACATAATTCAACATTTCGTATAGGGAAGAGTGTGTTTCAGAGATAGGGGTCCTGGGGAGGAGCAATTTTGCTCCTCCCGCTCCTGTTTCCTCCCCACTGCTACCAGAAGCATCCCCTTCTTGCTTGGAGACTGGATTGTACTTGCTGTACTAGTCCAGCATCTTCCATGTTCTACTCATCCAGAGGATCCTTCTACTCTGCTCTTCTACTCCCAGCTGGTTTCTCCTGTGGGCTTGTCCTTCCTGCCAGGGGCAGCACACACACAAAGCAGAGGGAGTGCTCATCAGTACTTCCCCAACCATGGCAGCTTCCCTGGTTTGGCTCTGTGCAGGAAATGAGCTAATCGCTGCACCTTCCTCTTGGCTTGGCTCTCGTATGCCTGGTTCTGATTTCCTTCAGCAGCCTTGGGTACAGTTTTGCTGGGGGTGTCTTGCAGGACGGGGGTGGGGGTAGTATGGGGAATAGCATCCCCCTCCCACTTCTCACTTTGAAGAGTGCATCCTGTTCTTGGTAAAGCTAAGCCCACTTGGTTCAGCATACTATTGAATATCGCTTCTAACTTAGTAGATAGCCTGCTCTGTGCATAAGATCCATAATGCCGCTACGGCTGGAGCTCTGGGCCAAATGGCAGGGCCACTCCTCCAGTTGGCTGTCCTGAGACTGGCAGGTGAACAGGGCAGCAGCAGACAGGCCCCATAAAGGCACCAGGGCCAGCATGGGCCTAACGGAGAGTGTCAGGAGGCAGCAGGCTGGGCATCTATTTAGTTGCTAATGCTCATTGTATTATTTTTTATTTTAAAACATATATTATCCTTTTCTACAACAAAATGGTGTTTATTTCCAAGTAAATGTGTTTTGCATCAGGGCAGCAGAAGCAAACTCTCTTTTATTCCTGTAGTGATAATGGCATTTTGATTTAAGTGAGTTTAAAATGTGAAACTGCACGTGCTCAGAATATTTCTCTCTCTCTCTCTTTTAAATGAGGGTTGACAAACAGGTTTTTGTTGTTGCTGCTGTAACACATCATGAATGTAGGAGCGATTGTTAAACATGGAATGGTAGCTGGGCTGCAGGGGATGTATGAAGACATCCTTATGGCTCTCTTCCTTTGCAGGGCATGAAAGAGCATCTCTACTTTCCTCTCCTGGTGAAGCTTGTCCACATCCACTGCTTTCCCTGCCTGGCTTGTTAGGAGAAGAGGGGGCTGCCTCTTTCCCCCAACAAAGACACTTAGCGTTCTCACTCTTTTCACACCTCCTCTCCAAAGCCAACTTTTAAAGGGAGTGTTGCATTCACACCTTCAATTCAGAAATCCCAGCGCTATTATGATTGCATGATAGCCATGGCAAATGCCAGCCCTCCAGGGTGGGCATTATCAAGCTACTCTCCCGGTTGCTTTGTTTTCTGCCACCAGCTGCCCTTCAGTATCACCAGTTCCTCTGAGCGTTTATCTGTGAGTCGGAAATCAGCCAGCTAAGGTTGCGGCCCTTGCTTAGCCCCTTCTTCCTTCTTTGCCTTTAGTCACTCTGGTAAACTTAATCCAAATTATCGATGCAGCATGGGAGAACAAACGTTGAAGGTGCAAATGGGTAAATCAACACAGTCCAACAATCCAATTAAGCTTATGAACAATAAAAATGAGCAGGGGAACCAAAGGACTAAGTATGCACAACAAAACAAGAAAACAAATCCTGTACCAGTGTGGTATAGTGGATGAGAGTGTGGGAGGGGAGCTTAAGTGATCTGAGTTCTAGTTCCTGCTCAGCCATGGAGCCAATGGTGTCTCTGGGCCAGTCACAGACCCTCAGCCCAACCTACCTCACAGGGTTATTGTGAGGATAAGATTGATAGCAGCAGGAGTATGTAAGCCGCTTTGAGTTCTTTGTAAGGAAAGGCAGGATATAAATCTAATAAATAAACCTGAAATCTTGGAGTGCTTAAAATCTACACTGAATACGCAAGGAGAGCTGCTATACCTTCCAGGTCCCTTGTTGACATTCCTTAGAGCTTGATTTGTTCAAAGTAGACAGAGAAAGGAGGAAGGGACAACTCAACGGGGCATTTTGCTGGAATTTCTGCTGTTTGTCTTGGGGTGATTTTGACTGACAGTAGCAGTTGAATTTGCCAATGAACATCAAGTCACATAGGCAGTAATGGCCAAGGAAGAGGACAATCAGTGACAGAATTGTTCTATTATTTATTTATTTTACTTCTACCCTGCTTTTTCCCCTTTTGCCAGGAACCCAAGGTAGCTTACATAGTCTTCCTTCCTTGAGATATGTTCGGCTGACAGTCAGTGACTGGGCCCAAAGCATTAGTGAGCTTCATGGCCAAAGAAGGACTGAAGCTCAGATTGCTCAAGCTCCATGCCATATAAACATGAGAAAAGCCACGCTGGATCAGACCAGTGGTCCATCCAGTATTCCTTTCCCCCAGTAGCAAGCCAGCTGCCTCAAGGCAGGATCCCTCAAGCAGGATGAGTACAAGACCTTCTCCTGCCCAAGCTCCTCAGCAACTGGTGTATGCAGGCACAGCATTAGAAGCTATCACTCTACCTATCATCCTACACTGGTGGTTGCAGGTTTACCTCATACAGGGGAGATGTGGGCAGTCCTGTCCTAGCTTTATTACTTGTTACAGAATGAGAACTGACAGGGTGGTTTGTGAGATGGAAGTGGCTGTCTCTGCCATTACTGGGAAAGCTAGAGCATCAGCTTGGCCTGGCCTCAGGGCAGCATGTATTATCCTTTCCTGTGTTTCTTCCCAGTATGTTTCTGGGCACAATCTAAGCTGCTATTAATTGCCAGTAAAGTCTTAAATGGTTGTAGCCATGAGACTGTGTCCCATGCTATGTGGCCTGCTCACCAAGTTTGTTGTTGGAGGTCCCACCCTCTGTCTTGTTGCAACTCAAGGGACAGATTGGCTGTGATACAGAGCAGTAACTTCTTGTAGTGGCACCCACGTTGTGGGGTTCCCTTCTCTTGGAGGACCAGTTGACCAGTTGATTATTATTGGCATTTAGATGGTTTGCCGAGATGTTTGCCCCACTGTTTGTTGATGTCACATGCTGTCAAGTGGCCTCTGGCTTATGGCGACCCTATGAATGAAAGCCCTCCAGACTGCCCTGTCCACAACAGGCCTGCTATGATCTTGCAACATGCGAGTGCAACTTCCTTTATGGAGTTAATCCATCTCATATTTGATCTTTTTCCTCTACCTTGAATTAAATGTCCATCTGTTGTTTTATCCCCACTCTATTTTCTGAAACCTTGTTTCTCTTTCCTTTTTGTGGCACCATTGTTCTCTTCGTTCTCAGATATGCTCAGTGGAGTATTCTAGCTTATGTCTGAGCTTGCTTGGGGTTTTCAGACCAAAGAGTAGGTGATTATTATTATTTTAAATAAAATGTAGGAGGTTTTTAAAAGGTGGGTCTCTTAAGACTATGGCATATAGGCCCATGAGGCAAGCATGCAGATATGCTATTGTAAAGCTGGTTGCCTGGTTTTTCTTACTATTTTTCTGAATTTTCTTCCCATCAGGCAATGCTTGGCAGAGGTGGAAAAGAAGTCTGAGGATGATCAGGATGCCTGGAGCCCCTTTCCTCAACCAGCTTGCAGTGACTCTCCCATTAGATCTTTCACCTCCATTTCTGAAGCCAAAGACTGCCTTGTGGACTTTAAAAAGCAGCTTCCCATTGGCCCAGGCAGTCGGAAACAAACCAAAGCCAGCCTCAGAAACAGGAAGAAGTTCTGAGGGTTGCTGAGTGGAGAAGGGACCTGAACATGCAACAGGAAGCAAGATCTTATATTCCATTGACTTTGCCTGGCAGGAAAGGTGCAGCTGCCCAAACATTTTCAGAGTTCCTTCTACTGTACATTTTGTACGAACTTTGCAGGGATTTGTCATGTATGGATTTGTTTGTGTACTTTTTAGGTGCCTATTCTATCTTGCTTTTCAATTAGAAAAAATGAAATATATTTATTATGTTTTTATAAACCTCCATGTGCTCCTGTTTGGGATTTTTAAAACTGTGTATTTGTGTAAAGGCTACTTCACAACGTGTGTCCACAAACAAAGGCGAAATAGCATAGAGGTCAGTGTGAGTCACTTCTCAGTATAATTAAAAACTGAAGGCAGAATCCAGCCAAAGTTGTTCATTTCCAGGTTCTATTATATCTGCGGGAGAGATTTAACCATGTGCTTAATTCTCCCATTAAAATCAATGGGATATAAGAAGTATTTAATGCTGGCTACTGCGTGCCCTGCTTTGCACTAATTTTACACAGCTGATGAAATATGCTGGGTGATGGACAAGATAAGCCAGTCATACTTTGGCTGCACAGGCAGGTAACACAAGCCTTTGGGAGAGATCCCAGAGGGCAAAACATATATTGGGTGGTTCCATTGGATCAGGAATGGCCAAATTAAATCAGACAGGTGCACTGTTCCTGGAAAGCTGCCTGGGGTCAGTTTCTCCTCATACCATAATGTCTACACACTTGCAATCTGGCATCGGAAAGGGTGGTGAGGCTACAGGGAGTGGGTCAAAACAAGGATCAGATGCGAGCTGTATAGGATATTTGTTACCCCTCCCTCCCCCATAAGGTGAGCAGCTAGCAGCTACATGAGGCAATGGTATCAGTGGCGTGACTGCTGTTCTTGTTCTTTTATGCTCAATCCTCTCTGTGCTTTTGTTTTAATTTTAATTGAAGGCCATATTCAACTTGGGCTTTGTTGTGCCAGATACTGTGCCAGAATATAATTCATTCAGCCCGAGCCTGAAAGAGCTTTGAATCTAAAAATTAGGCCCAAGGGGTCTCTAACATGGCCTATGGCAGGGCAAGAGTGAGCAGCCTGCGCCTTGATGTCCTGTTACTACCTAATTGTTCCATGTTCCTACAAAATACTGTGCATTCTTGGGATTTTATTTTATTTTGATGCAGAGCCTGTGCTATTGAAAGAGCTCAAGGGCAGGTTACAGGTAACAGCAATTACACATAAAACAGAGAGAGCCCTGTCTCTAAATTGCTTGCAGAGGCCAGGGAAAACAAAAGGAAGGATGACATGTTATCTTAATGGGACATTGTTTTATCTACTATGAAAAGGCTGGTGTTGACTCCTGCTAGAGAAGAAAGGTTTTCAGTGTCCAGGAGGTGCCTTGAAAAGGTGTGTGTATGTCTTAGGAATACCCTCTCAATGCAGAAAGAAAAGGAAGGAGCAGGAAGGCTTACTTATCAGTATGCCATCCAAAACAGAAAGACGGCCTTGTGGACTTTAACACAGGATAGACTGTTCTTTATTTTGGCCTGTTTAGCCCTCTCAGAAATCTTGTGTTCCAAAGCAGAAAGCCCAAGAAAGAGGGATTTTGTATGTATCTCAGGAGTCTGCTGGTGTTTTCCCTCCCAAGTCTCCACTCGCATTCACTACTATAGGTGGCCATGTAATTTCCTGAAGTACTTAGCATTGTTGAAGGGTCTGTTTTGACCCATTTTATGCATTGAGCAAAATCAAGTGAGAAAGCTTGGACTGGATGTTACCAATTCAAAGCTCTAAATGTGTGAGGTGGAGGGACTGCATATCCTAGAGCAGTGATGGCAAATCTTTTAGAGACCAAGTGCCCAAACTGCAACCCAAAACCCACTTAGTTATCGCAAAGTGCCAACACTGCAATAAAACCTGAATACTTAAGTTTTAGTTTAGAAAAAACAACTCACAGCCAGTCCAAGCATCTCTCTCTCTCTCTTTCTCCTTGGCAGTGCACTGACCGGCCATGTGAAAGCTCGGACAAGTCGTGGCTAATGAGTCATGGCTCATGATGTCATTGCCTGGAGCCACTACTCCTTTCTGAGCATGTGCATGGCCCCTATGTGTGCTGTTATCTGATGCTCGGCTGCTGGGGCGATGCTGGAGGAGCTTGGCCCATGTGCCGACAGAGAGGGCTCTGTGTGCCCGCTGCGGCATGCATGCCATAGATTCGCCACCACTGTCTTAGAGGTTCCTCAGAAAAACACATGGAAAAAATTATGGCAGGGACAGAGGCTTGGCCAAACCTTTTTCCTTGAGAGAGTTTTTTGTTTGTATTGTGTGTCCAGAACAGATCAGACAGATTTCAAAAAAGATTCTCCACCTATAGCCTTCAGTGATGAAGTCCAGGAAAACCATCTCCTCTTGATTCTGTGGAAGGTACAAGGTGGCCCTGAGTCTAAGGCTGCAATCATAAACACTCTTACTAGGGAGTCATGTCCATTGAACTCTGGGACTTGACGGTTTTGAAATGCCTTTTAAAGTTGCTGGATAAAACAGAGTAGGCATAAAAAATACTCCCTATTTTGGCATTGGGCCCCTTGCCTCAACATGCCGAGCTTCATTCCAGCCAGGATCTTTCACCATTTTCATCAAATAAAAGATGTCTTCTCATTGCAGGACTATCTGTCCCACCCTCCTAGTTTTTTCCTTGTTAACTGTCAATCTGTTGCAGGCCTGTCTCTGGAAGCAAAGCCCCTTGTTTATCTTTGCAACTGGTGATAAGGAAAACAAAGAGCTGAATGACTTTCCCAGAGCTCTGCTGTCACTAAAGCCCAGGGTCAGCTCAAGGAGATGCCAGGAAAGCAGGCACAGCAGGCTGAGGAACCCACCAGCAGCTACTCTCACAAACCTCCTCCCAGGCAAGACTGACACAGTCCAGGGTGGGTGGCGGACACTGTCACCTTGGGACAGAGCAGCTTGTCTGTTCTCACAGCATCCAACAGACATCTTGCTGAAATTGTCAGTGTGCACTGCCGCTCGATTGGAGCACTTTTGCTCGAGGTACTTGATAGCAGCGAGCAAACAAAGGAAAGGCTGCTCGGTAGCCTGGGCAGCATTAATCTGAGCTTTGCAAGCCTGGCTGCACCTATTGTTGCAACCATGTCTGTCTGTCTCCTTTTGTGTTGCAGTTTGCCTTCAGACAGGCTGAGCAGAAGAGAATGTCCTGAGTGTGCTGATGCCAGGTGGCCTGAAGTTACCAGGTTATTCCAGCAGGGTCTTTACCTTTCCACTTTCTAGCCCAGTACTGGTTGTGTACTTCCAACCAAACAGCATTGGACTGAGGCTTAACCTCCAATATCTTGGTCCAAGGGCTTCCTGCAACCAGCTGTCTGTTCTTTTTTGTTCTGTATTCTTACCCAAGGTCAACAGCAAGCTTATCAAATAGAGGTAGTTAGGGGTTCAAGTGAGGTTTTAAAGCATCCCTTGTGTTCTTTAACTGGCATTTTTTTCTGGGCGTTATCAGCACTACACTCTCTTAGTAAATACATTAATGCATCATAGTGTTGGACCAAAACAGCAGAACTTGTCTGGGATGTTGAAGTAACCATACAGAATCACCAGCAATACAACTAAAAAACAAAAAAAGTTTGATAGTGTTTTTATTTACTCGACTATAAGCTGAGATGTATAATCAAGCATCAGTGTTCATATCTTCTGTGGTTAGAAGGCAAAGCTGGGATCTTCCTTTTGGTTCAAACGCTTTCTCTTACCTTGAGGAGTCTGGCTGCTCTTACCCTCTATCTCCCTCCACCATGATGTTCATATTGATGTCAATTATGTATAGACATTTGGGTGACAGCAGGGCAGGATGCAATGATAAATACTAAAAATTGCTCCCAGTGGGAGCTAAAAGGACCTGCAGGTTTATAGAGGAATTACAGGTAAACAGGATGGTCTGTAATTGACCTGGATGAAAGCATTTTGTATATTTTAACCTACATTTAATCAGATAATGACAGAAAGTAGTTTGTTAGGAAACCAGTGTTCTTAAGAACAATGGAAGGATTTTTGAGCACAATAATTTGGTTACCTTTGATGAGGAGAATAGATGTATAACATGATGCCATGTCTAGACCAGAATGTTTTCTATCTTTATACCACATCAACATTGTTGAGAGAGGTTCTTATAGGAATAGACCAGAGAGATGTCCATACTGCTGCATCAGAAGCATAGCAAAAAAGAGCAGAGTTTTGCTGGTCAGTGCCATAAACTGTTTGCCCTAATTAATTAGATTAACTGCATGTACAATTGCGCATAATACAAAAAACAGTATAGCTGGTAAGTTGTGTAATGCATGCCACTGCATTTCACTGATCCATCAAAGACTGGATGGTTAATAGGCATGTGGAAGTGAAGGGCTCTTTTTGAATATTAATGTAGTGCTATGCAAAAGTTCTGAGCAACTTTTAAGAAACCATAGCCAAAAGCTATGATTTGCAAGAAGGGGTATGGCTGGCCTACAGATGATGTAAGAAGATCTGTTTTGCAAGCCGGAGTGAGGTGAGAAAAGAAAGTTCTGGGTTTGAATTTCTCTTCCTGCTCTGTGTATGGATTACAGGACACATTCTGTACTTCCAACCTGGACCATTTAACTTTGGTGGGAGTGGCTTATCAAGGTTTCTGTAGCTCAATCCACAATGCAGTTGGATTTAAAGACAATTTAGGATACAACTATGCATTTTGGAAAGAAAAAATAGCTGAGCCATCCTGTGGGAATTGTTTCACTTCCTTCTGTCTAAGCTTGTGTAGGATTACATCCATAGTCTCATTGACTAAACATATCTCATAAACTAAACATAAACTAAACATAAACTAAACATATATTAGTCTCATTGACTAAACATAAATCAGTTAAACAACTGATTTAACAGGCTTAGGGATGATAGATATTTGAAGCTCTTGTTTGGACTGCATGATCATATTAGGTTCATTAGTTAAACATGACACCTCAAGAGAGCCTTCCCCAACCTTGTGCTGTCTTGGACTTCAGCTCCTATCAATACCCACCAGTATGGTCAAAGGTCAGGAATGGTAGGAGATGTAGTCCAAAACATTTGGAGGCCACCAGATTGTCAAAAGCTCCTTTAAGAATAAATGTAAAATTATGAAAAATGGATACAGTGTTACAGAGCAATTATGTAACCCCCCCACATGAATATACAAGCACATGTTCCCACAGGACTTTGTAGTATGTTAACGGGACACTGTTGTGGCTGAGAATTTGTTGTGAATCTGAGTTACGTTTGCGCCAACAATCTGCATCAAGGAAATATGCTTTAATACTACAGGAGATGAGTGGGGAATGTGTTGACTCAGCACTCTAATATGGGTTTCTCTATTCACTTGTAACTGAGGGCAGGAAAGCTGCAGCCTCCAGAATCCCCAGCATTTCTGTTGGTGAATAGAAAAGAGCTGCAATCAACGTAGAGAAAAGCA